TAACTTCGCTCCAACAAATGGATCAGAAGTCAGCTAGATTCGAACTTATGTTTTTACGTGAAGATAAAACTATCACTATACTTTTACTCTACGTTGATGACCTGCTTATTTTTTTTAGTAGTTCTTCTCGTGTCGCTGAGATCAAAGGCTCAACTTAGCTTACGAAATAAGATGAAAGATTTAGGTAGAATCTCTCTGTATCTTGGGGTGGACATTGTGCATACCAATACAGGGATTTTTTTTGTGCTTTAAACTAGCAACACTACAGACTCACTTAGTGAGTGCAATTCGTCCGCGTCACTCATTCAATCAATTTCTCTTCCGGTTGAACTTGTTCTCGAGATACAAATAAGCCACCTGTTGACAATCCAAAATATTGTCACCTGGTCAGTCGCCATGATATTCTGTAAGCTGTTGGACTTTTTAGTCGGTTTATGCATAAACCGCATACGGATCATTGGAATGCAATTCAATACCTCCTACGATACTTCAACGGCACTTCTTAGTTGGTTTATGCATAAACCGCATATTCCAATGAACCGCATACGGTTCATTGGAATGCAGTTCAATATCTCCTGTGATACTTCAACTATGGCTTACTTTTCAAAAAGCGAGAATGGCATATCCAAGGCTGTACTAACATAGATTACTTCAGTTGTCCTAATACCTGCCGATCCATTGAAGCTTATGTTTTTAAGCTTGCAAGCAGACTCGTATCTTGATCAACCAAGCAACAGTCCATTGTTTCCGATAGCACAAGTGAAGTTGAATATAAGGCCTTATTGGAAGGGGGCAAAGAGGCTGTGTATCTCAGGCAGTAAATTCAAAAATTGAAAATCCTACCTTTTTTGAAGCTTCCACTTTCCTGCCGTGATTCTACAATAATTCACCATCTAAGGGATGCAGCGACACCGATCATGGCAGATTTGCACCTATTTTGCGACAACCAGAGTGCTATTAAGCTAGCCAAAAACACTCTGTTCCACGCCAAGATCAAGCACATCGAAGGCAAACACCATTTGGAAATTCAGGAAAAAGGTGTTAGAAGGGGAGATTGACCTCAAGTACATTCACATTGAGTTAAACCTTGCAGATTAGCTCACGAAGTCACTACCAAGACAAAAATTTGAAAAACATAGAAAATTATTGGAGTTTGTTCGTTAATCTGACACTCAGGCATTATCTTTATAAGACTGGAATCCAATTATGCTGTGTTACAATTCCGTCACTAGGAGCCACATAATTCCACCGGGCTACTACCACGTCCTAGTCACTATACTGCAATACATCCCTTTAGTTCCAGTTCGAACGTGATGTTCGATGATGTACCTTAGTACATATTGTTAGTATCCAATGTGCTGCCATTAGAATTTTACGGTACTCTCGAGAGGGGGTATTGTTAGTATAGAGTTATCGAATGCAGTATACAAATCAGATTAGGATCATCTGTGTTGTGTTAGATATTCTTTGTCTTCTTACCCTTCTTTGTAGGCAGGTAATTGGTTCATCTCCTCTTTCTAGCTCTAAAATTTCGACCTTCCAGAATAAAAGCCCTAACCTATGTTACTGTTACACTGTTCAAGATCAACAGTCGGTGTACAGCTCTAGGTTTGATGCACTAAATATCTGCTCTAATCAGGTGCGTAAACATTGCAGAGGAGGGTATGAGAGTGTTGGTTGGTTCCTTTCTGAGGAACCCGACTTCTAAAACAGTTTCAACCCGAATAGTTCGGCAGACGTATTCATATTTTCAAATCACTCAAAAAGCCTAGTGGCAGTGAGGAGTAAGATTTACGCAATATATTAAACTTACATCCGTATGGACTACGACCAAAAAATAACAGAGCTTGCCTATCAACTCAGCAACGTTTTACAGGTATCATGAGCTTGAGTAACTCATAACTCATGACGTTTTTCTCAAGGCCTATAGCCTTTTTCTATGGGAACCAGTGGGCACTGTTCCTTAGTCTGACCTGATCCTGAAGGCGGAGAGAGAGAGGTACCTTAAATAGACTTGGGGAAAGAGGTAGATGGACTACCTGATGCTCAATTGGAGCCTTTTCCAATGAAGATTTACATCAGGATAGAGAAGCATGAAACAAAGGTAATGCTCAAGTTCCAATATCTAAGATGTATTTAGAAAAAGAAGACATTCCTTCTAAAACATCAAGTGGACAGAAATATTTGGTTCAGGGATAGATTGGTTCAAAAACAACTTATCTATCTGGGCAGAATTATATAATTATGGATGAATGTTGGAAGTAAGAACTGAACTCGATATATTAATAGTGAGAGTTGGATCCATTAAGTAGCAAAGGAGATATGGATGATCCAGTACAAATTAGGTATAATAATAACACTCTCATACCCTCCTCTGCAATGTTTACGCACCTGATTAGAGCAGATATTTAGTGCATCAAACCTAGAGCTGTACACCGACTGTTGATCTTGAACAGTGTAACAGTAACATAGGTTAGGGCTTTTATTCTGGAAGGTCGAAATTTTAGAGCTAGAAAGAGGAGATGACAAAACTAGCCTATGTTGTTGATCAGGTTTCTTGACCTGTACAAATTGTTTGCACTTTTTCCTTCTATTTATATATGCAGGTACAAGTAGGGAAGAGTACGGGTATATCGACACACGCATTTTGAACTTGTACTTGTGGTCGGCTGCGAATACTCTGGCCAAATACACATAGGTCGAGGCGGAGCAGCATTTGGAAAAGCTCATGACATGAAGGAAAATGTGAACATCAATTTCCTACTCTAAGAAAGTCGGGCCGCCACAAGCTTCTCCTTGGAAGCCGTTGATAGCCTGAGGAACTCATGGCAAGGCTAAATTTACCCATTTATCATGGACGAGAAACGTGGCCATGGCTGCGGAGTTGCAGCTTTAGTTTCGAAAAAAAAAAAACAGAAAGAAGATTCGCCTACTGTGTTCTGATTTAGAGAAAATTTCACTCACCAAAATCGTTCTCATGCTGAAGATGTGCTCAGTCTATTAAACTGTTTATTCTAGAAGCACTCAAAGTGTTCAACGTGTGAATCAGATAAATCCTGTTGAAGTTTATTCGGTAGAGTCTGAAAGTCAACACCTAGCAAACTTGAAACGAAAGGAAATTTGAATCATCGTGACCAATGCGGAAGTAAAAGGGGTCAACCAGCGAAGATGGGCCCTTGATCCTTTCATGCGTTGTCGGAGAAAATCCGTAGACAGGTTTGACGTGAGAACCTGTTACCTTCGGGTTTCTACTCGTTAAAACGACATTATAAAAAAAGGAAGTGAAGCCTGAGCATAGGAGAGCCTAATGTACGTCAGACTGTACCCATGAGACCATGATTCTAGCTGCAAGAACAACTTAAATAGCTCATTAAGACATGTAAACTATCCAGATCTTTGTCAGTCTAAATGCAGATCTCTGGAATAGCGATGGTAATGACGTGTACGAAGTATATCCGTACTGAAAAGTAAACGAGAGCTCCCAAACTTGGGGACAGTTGTCTGGTCGTGTACATGTTACTAAGGTAGGCCATGGATCTTCCAGAGTCCGCTGTGCAGCCGTCAACTTGCTACTCTTACCGTATCCAGCAGTGAAATGCAAAATTTATGCACAAAATGCAATCGGAAAGCCAACATACTTATCAAGAAATCTGGCTCTAGAGCAGGCCCTGGGGGCTACTTTGATATCAGTGATCGATGTAGAATAACAGCTGTGCGCCTCTTACTGCTAACAGCAGTGGACGATTTGTTAGGTCGTGTGAAACCTCAATTCTCCTCCTAAGCTTAGCTTCTTGCATACTTCTAGGGTGAGCGGTTCAATATCATAACACTGCAGTTGATGTCTAAATGTGGAAATCTAATATACACATGAACAATTAGAGATTGAGTACAAAAAGCGAGTTAACGCTTTCCAGCATTCAGTTGTGATCCAGCTACGTATGCTACGTGATATAAGCAGCGCTAGATTACAGATTGAGTTGGCATGTCCGACCTCGAGCTGAACCGACAAATCAACATGTATATTGTTGAAGGCATGATCTGGGGGAAGTAAAATACTAATTACCAGGAGGTTACTTGACATGAGAAGGCTGCTCACATGAAAGCTCACAGTTTCAAGTCAAGGAAAAGCGCGTTTCCAGGCATTAGTGGGCCTCACACTAACCCACAACGAGTTGCTCGCTGAGACTGAGCATTTTAAGCAAATCTGCTCAAACGTGCATCCACCGCTTGTAGGCTTAGGCCATGGCCCGGGTTTCATCCACCGGCGAGAACTTTAGGCATCACCGGAACAATGCATCCGTTCGATCGACTCGAAGACGTGCCTCCGACTGTAACAGGTAGGCTGCGATCACTGGATGGAGATGGAAGGGATAAGCGTTGGCACAGAGACCCAGAATGTCACATGCATGTCAAGGCACACTCAGTTCACGTCACTTTGGTCTCCGCTCCGAGGCCCACAGTGTCTACGTTTCTGAGAGGAGTTAATATTCGATGATCACGGGAAGAGTCCCTTGAGAATATGATGATCTGCGCCAATCCACACGACATTCACATATACCTCTGACTAGAATCAGCTCAACGTCAAAGCCTTGAGGAATTACTCCTCACATGAAACACTTACCGAATCTGACGCATTAGGATCCATGATTTAGGACTAGTCTCTGAGGACGTCGTAAACTGTTACCTTCTGGTGCCGTTCCTAGATCGCACTAGACTTCATGCTTGTCTGGTCAGCGTTCACCTGAAGTCATCTCCGATACTGTTTCTGAGCTGGAGGAGTGGAGGAAGGATCGACATGGCTGGGGAGGGAAAGGACCACAAAGGAGATCCTAAAAGCCCACGTTCTAGGAGAAAATGACGTCAGTGTGAACGGCGTGGCTGCAATCACGTGAATTTCCCTCAATGCACGACATCTGAAGAAGGTCTCAGGTTTTCGTCGTTCTGCACCCTAGATCAACGCCCAAGGCCTACTGGTCTTCCTTGTTCGTGAAAGGGAGTGTATTTAACACGAGATCAGCAGTCACGAGAAGCTCACTCCAAGTCGAGCTTTATCAAAGTCAACAGAGTATAACTCGTAGTGCTCAAGTGAGGATGACATCTTAGTGACATCAGAGGTTGCTATATAACCTGTTCTTGCGATTCAGTGTTCACCAGCCTTATACTCTCCAGTGCAAAGCAATCAATCTTGACGGGTCCTCGTTTCGAGTAAGTCCCTCAGCATAGACCTCCCTACCCGAAACAAATTCCCTCAGCTAAAACTCACTTGGACACATAGTCCGAGACAAACTATTACTCATAGGTCTGTGTCACCTTGAAAATTGACACAGGACGTGCTCTCGTGTTGAAGTATGTGCTTTGTGCTTTGAGCTTTGAGCTTTGAGCACATTTTCCTGCTTCGCATATCTTCGATATTTGAATTTTGAAACTGTTACAGCTTAGTTAATCCCTTGCGGAGGTCTGAGTACGTTTTTTCTTGTCTAGATTATCTCTGACAGTTCGAAGGGTCGATAGCTGGAGCGTGTCTACATTTGTTCTCTCATGTGCATGCTCAAGTTGGGTCTTTCGTAGCAGTGACATACATGTATATGTGAGCTTCTGTGCCGTTTTTCAGGTTTCTATTGCTAGTCGCCCCTTATCGTATCACGACCAGAATGCTCCTAAGTTGAAATCGTTATCTGCATCTGTGCAGCATCGCTTCAAGTGACTACTTGAAGTTGAATTCTCGGTTGTTCCTTTTCGTGTAGCGAATGGTATCTTTCACTGCATATTGTGGCTATTCAGGCCATCGTACTCAACCTTTGCTCTTTACTTAGGTTTGAATTCGCTTGTGCGCAGGAAGGACCTGGTCACGGAGGCAAGACCAGACCTCTCGAAAAGGTGGCATTCCGATTCATTTCTGACTCCGTATTTTGGAAGATACCCACGACAACTTTTGGGTAGAATCAGACAGCTAACGTATCAAGTCTATAGAAGAGCCCGGATTAGCAATGGCTTCCGCATTGAACAGAGGGAACTCACTCAAGGTACCTTTACCCAAAGCATCATTACTCACTAGAACAGCGTCATTTCCGACGGATTCATCACAACGAGTTAGTGGTGCATTCCAAGGACCTGCAGCCACGGCACCACTGATGCGAGGGGATACTTTCAAAGCAGGAGCGTCTACAGATTCAGCTAGTGTAAGATGGGGGTCAATGAAAGGAGCTGGAAAAATGGCTGCATCAACGCTGAAGTTGGCAGTTCTACTATTTATTGGAGTCTACTTATATGGAGCAGTCAGTTATGCAAGGAGCATAAGATATCCCAGTCGAGTAGTGACGACGGAGATGCTATACAGAAGGTTGGAGGAAGCAGGGGATACGGTCCCGGAGCACTTTCATCTGTACTCTTGTCCCCAGGCTACTTTCGTTGTCAGTGAGCTGGTCAATAAGTTCGTTACTACAGATCCCAATTTGGCAGGAGGATTAGAGGTTCTTCAATTTCATGATTGTTTCGTCCGGGTGAGATCTCCTTCTCTTCGAGAGCATCGTCTCATCTCTCTTTTTTTTGTGTCCATAAAGTATTTTCAGAACGCATGCTTTTCTAGTCAACGGATGAAGATTTGTTAGTACATTGATTGCAAAGCGGAAAGGATTTCAGATACGCTTGAGATGGATACGGAATCTGATGAGTTGAAAGACCTGTGTGACGTGACTGGAGGGAATCATGCAGTACTCCAAGTATGATTTTGATTGATCCGCTTGCGGATGTGAACTTTCCTTGGACAGGGTTGTGATGCATCAATTTTATTGAACTCTACATCTGCTACAACACCAGAGAAGGATGCGTCACCCAAAGCTGATCAAGAATCGCTGAGAGGTTTCGAACAGATAGACAAGATCAGGGCTGCGCTTGAAGAAGCTTGCCCCGACATTGTAACTTGTGCAGATATATTAGCGCTTGTCGCTCGTGATCCCACGCTAAAGGTGAGTGATCTTCGCAACATTACATCTCTGAGATGCAACTCAATGGTAGTAACAATGCATTCCCTTTGAAGTCTGCGCAGGTCTTTGGAAATATCACGTGGCATGTGAACTCACCATTGCCTACATTGCTGCTGCAGGCTGGAGGACCAAGCTGGTCGGTGGTATTGGGACGGAGAGAAGGCTTCGTATTTCTGGAAGCCGAGGCGAAGATCAGCCTCCCCTCTCCGCTGTCCAACTTTAGTAGTCTAGTGCAGAATTTCGAATTAGTAAAATGTACAATGGACGAAACTAGTAGTTACTAAGATTTGGGAGTTGGAGCAGGCAGGCCTTGCCAAGTACAGCTAAATGGTCGATATTCTTACAGAGCACGACGTTCATGGGGCAAACAAAGTATTCACGATGTGATTAGAGCTAGAGAATGAGTTCCGTGTAAAAAGTGTGTTGTTTGAACACCTTTTCCGATTTAGCTCGAACTCCCACGCGCCTGTAGATTGCAATATCACTCATTGTTCATCCAAAAAGCCCGGGAAGACTGGAAGCCTTCATAAGTGTGGTAGGTTCACGACCGGGACATGAAGGTGGAGATAACAACCAATTCTTGACGGGAGATGTCAATGCTGAGATTTTGGGACCATTGCTTGGTCGATTCGTTCGTGGTACAGTTATGTAAATTTCTTATTTGTTAGAGTGTTCAGCCAGAATCTCACCACTCTTTCGCGGTGGAAACATGTCAATAAAAGTAGAGACATAGCCTAAAATTTCTATCACATCCTCTTCATTGATTGATTGATTGAGTGTCTTCGAATTCTCGCCGACCACCACCTGAATTCTCGTGCACTTTTGTTTCTGGCTTCCGCAGCACGTAGACCTCTCAACTTCACTGTACCCACAGCAGGACTCCTGACTCCCGGACATGTCTTCTCCCGATGTCCCTGTAGAAGCTCATTCTTCTCCTGAATATTCGACCATGATATGGTTCGGATCAAAAGTGCCTTGTGATACGCAGGGCATCTGACTTCTCAGCCTCAACGTTCGTTACACGCCAAAACACTGTACCTGGCCCCTCCTGGTGACATAGCTTAGGCATATAACTGTGACATGGAGAGACTGGAAGACGGTGGGACGAACGAAGGAAACGGGTCCAAGCATTTTGGCCTGCATTACGGCCGTACCTGGTGACCCACCCACCTTTTAGGAGCGTCCGTGGATTGCTGCTCATGTTCATTATCAATCGATCAGCTATGGCCACATCAGAGAGCGCGGAGTGGCCCCAGCTTCAGACACAAGCGGGGAGGCTGGTGTTCTGTACTGTACTGTACTCTGCTCTAGATACATTTGTTAGTGTTACTTGCCGCAAAGCCCCATTTTCTTAAACGCGCGATATTCGGCAAACATACTTTTTCACTTGTCCAGTATTCTTCCAACTTACCTTCCCCTCCCCTTCCCCCTCGCCCTCACCCGGGCGAGCTTCAAGGTGAACGGAGGTGGAGTCCTAGCACCCAGTCGGTCATTTCAATGTTCCTCCTTCGACGATCACCTAGTTTTGTGCAGATTGCTCGTGACAATTCGTATTCCAGAATATTCCAGAGCACCTTTCATGGTCAAGAGGAGCACGGTGACAATATTTCATAACCCTGAGATCCATCACTCCGACAGGGAGGAAACTCAACGAAATTGATATCTGCAATCAGTGGCCTACAAAAACTTGTTGCCATTGTTTGACCGTTAGTCGGAGAGGAACGGATAAACAAGTTCGTTCCTATTTGACGTGCAAAGATTGTGACGAAGAGTACATGCAGCTGCTGCTTTTTGAAAGTTCACCTGACAAAGTAAACAGGGGTTAAAACCGGTAGGCTCATCCCGAATTTTCCTGGTTACATACATATCTGAAGCTTAAGAGAATACCGGTTCTAATGCTCAAATATTTTCTTCGCTTTGCTTTGAAGTTCCTTATCAACAAAGGATCATGTCGATAGGTTCATGTCGTTGCCATCCATTCAAACACTCTGATATCATTCGAACGCAAACATTGTGTGGCAAATTCAAGTGAACAAGCAACATTTATTACAAGTGATTAGAGATACTATGTTCAATTGATTCATTTATAATAGCAGAAATCGTTGCGTGCTTCTATGAATGTTTTAAAGTGATATTTTCATGGGAAAAATTAATTAATTCACGTCTCGGATTTTGTGATTTAAATTTTAAATGCTCATTATTCAAAAATTAAGCTAAAGTATTACTTTCTATGCAGAAAACATTTGATTGACTTGCTGGTGATTTATGTATTTTTTTGTGAATCTCAAAATATGAATTTTAAAGAGACCTAAATCTTTGAGATCATATTATAAAGTGCATATATATATAATCGTATTTAAATGTTTACTCTAACACATCATCATAAAAGTAATATATGACAGTGAAGGCTAATATTTTGATATATCTATATGTTTTTTAATTGATGTAACAATTTCAAGTATCATCAAACTCTTGCAAATGATTTGCAACTTAATGCAATTTATTGGTGTATCTCAAGCTTTTTGCAATCAGATTCATGATTAAATGTTTAATTTATGTTTAAAAATTATATCTGACAATAAATTATATTTGAAAAATTCAATCAATTCTGATATATTTACAAAATCTAAGTGTGAACTTGAAGGTTTAAAAGCTTGAAAAATATAATTTTGCACATTTTCATGTTTTTGTTGTATAATATTTTACTGTTAAATGAATATCACTCAAGAATTTTTCTATTGTCATATTCATGAATAAATGAAATAAAGTTGATTATCAATCTCATTTTTTACTTTAGTCATTCATTTAAAGTATGATCAGATCTTTAATTCAATAGCTTTTGTCATAGATTAGACATTAAGATTTAAAAATCTTTGTTCTCTTCATCACACATTTCAAAATCAAGTTATTTGAAAAGCAATTGATAAAATGTTACAGCTTACAACTTGATATTATAAAACACTTTCAAGTTGATTTTATTGTAAAACTCAACAAAACTGTAAACCTTCATATGCAATTCTTCTTGCAAAAATAGGTTGTCTTCCTTTAGCTTTCAACCAACAATCGATGCGTCTCGGTTTCACGTTACTAATTGCGTTATTGCCCCAAGCTCAAAGTCTACGGTCTCAAACTCTTTATTTGACATCATTTACACCCTTGGAGGTAAATGATGGTCTCATAAAGAGCTTTTATAGTCTCATCCAATGGTGAGATTTCTTTATGTTTCCCAATTTCCTCATCAAGTTTTGTGTGTCATATGTTACATAAAATAAGATGTTTATTGGATGTGGGGATTTGACCTTGAAAGTGGATTGTGGCTGAATACTATTGAAATTTGCAACCAATGGACCTGTATTATCTCATGACATAGATCAAGGGCTCATTTAATATTTGACAGGATCTAAGGAATTTGTAAGTTATGTGATGGAGAAAATATTGAATATAAAGAAAACTTGTTTGCTACATGTGACAGATATGAAGAGATTAGTACTTCATAAAGTAGATGTGGATAAACTTTTTTCTTTATTACAATTAGCAACTAATGATTTAGGTTGTTATAGTGGAGAAATCATTATCCACATCCTAGTAACTAAAGAGTTCTCTAGTATATTTTTCGCGGTGAATGAATGTTTAACTTGGAATGTGTTTGTGAGCTTTTGACAATTCGGGTGGAACGGGTCTTGATCTATGTACCATTGAAGAAATCAAAGAAATATAGCAATTCTTGTGTAAATATAGCAATATAGTTCTTTCAGGAATTGAATGTAAGAGACTTGGAATAATACGTTGAAAGTGATTTGCTTCTTTCTAAAAAATTTCATTGCATTCTTGTAGTGGCTGAATTTTATATTCAGGTCTTTTCTGTTTTTGAGTCACATGAAGACATGGAAGTAAATTAGCATACCGCCAAATTCAGTCAAGACTAGCCAACAGTGATACGCAAGGTTTGTGTTGACGGAGACGAAAGGGAGGAATCCCACAACGGAACTAAGTAAATGTAGTTGAAGGGATGGAATCATGACAATAATTCGGTTTCCATCGATTGACACGGACACGAAAATATACACGAACCCTAATTCGGTCTTAGTCGATCAATCGGGTCGGCAATTTTACCAAATTATCATCGACTGCTTGGGAACTATCATCTGTCACAGGTTCGATAGGCATGTCTGTTGTCGTCTGTACTCGCGGCTCCGATTGTAAATTCGGGTCAGTCTTCTTCTTTACTGCGACTCCCCATGTTGCGATGGAGTTCCCGTTTCTGTTTCGCATTTCTTGAAAATTTATGAGGGATTTGTCTCATCGGAAATTTTTCTCCATGCAGTCCGCAGTAAAGAAACGAAATTTCTAGACTTTTGTGGTTTCTGTTTTCGAGCTAGTTGTCAAACGAGGAGATTTTCTAGTGAGTAGTGCGATTAATCATGTTTCCAGTGTTCAACGAAATTGAATTTGTGTGAGTAGCTTCAGAATTTGTGCTTCGTGGAATTGAGAGTGCTTCTCTAGCTCAAGCGCACAAATGGTCTGTAAGGTCCGCAGTAGAAATGTCATCATCAGTTCACCCAGATTCTTGTCCAATTTGAGTTTTCTTTTTCATTCTGATCTTTTCTTCAATTTCCCCCGATTATTTATATGTATATATGAAAAATAGCTTAGGTCTGCCAACCATGAATATGCAAGAATGTAACCAATCTCACGTTATTTACGTGTTATTGATCGTTGCAGTGGTAGTATCAGGTGCCCAGATATAGCACTTGCTTTGTGTCCAATCAACAATTCTCCATCTTCGCATCTTCCGACATTCGTGCTTTTCGTTTGTTCGGGTGCACCTGGCTTTGCATTGGCACATGGTGACTAAGAAGCTAAGAATATCGCATTCTTTTGGAAGAGTATTCTGACAGTTATGGAGGTAGCAGAGACTGCTGTTTACCCCAGTGATGGGATGCTCGTTTCAACAGAACAGGGCAAGAGCACAGGACGAAGATGGCAGAAACACTGGTACTCTTGACATTCATGTTTCACCGAAAGCATTTCCGTGTGCCTTTTCTGAATGCATGTTTCGAGTTTTATCTGGTAATACCTTGAAGCACTTGGTGTTGACTGCAGATTTTGTAATCTAACGTGACTTACTTCGTTGTGGAAAAATTTTCCTAATTCACATTCTTGAGGCATTCAAATGGCAGTTGTGGCTTTCTTGCAGGGTACCTCAAGATACTGTGCTGGGAAGCGGCAAATGCTCCTTGCTTAAATGGGTTACTGGTCAGTACATGTGAAGCAGCTCATGGACTCCTTTGAACCTCTGCAAGTAAAGTGATTGGATCAAGTTTTGTTGTCATGATCATTGATGTCATATTAGTGTATTGAACATGACCCGAGGAATTCAATACCTCGGATTTGTAGAACGCGCATCTACCTACCAAGTATCTGCAAATACCAGTACTTTATCTTTGAGAGTTAGTGAAGAAGTTTTGAGATTGGACCAGATTTTGAATGCGCTTTCTCCTACAAAAAGGGAAAACTTCTGAGATAATGCTTGTATGAAGGGTTCATGGTGTGGATATCTCTAGTGGTCTCTGTTTCTTTGTATCAGCCTAAAACCTTAGGTTCACACACAGTAGTGTATGAAAGCACTCATTGATAAATTATGAGTAGGGATTTTTCAGAGGTTTTGCTGATTTCCCGTGCTTGGACTCGACCGGTAGCATCCGTTTCTAGAGCCTAGATACAGAATAGCCTAAACTTTTGTCATGTAGTTTTAATTGAGAGGATTATAAGTAAATGCCCTTGTAATCTGAATGTTTCAAATATTCTGAAGGTTTCGGTTATTCTATTGCGCAGAGGATGTCTTGAATCTTTTGAGCACACGTGGGGAGCCTGTGGAAGAAGAACAGGAACCTGCAGACGAGCATGAAACCGTTTATCTTTGCACCTTCGAGGGTTGTGGGAAGATTTTTCCAGAAGCATCTGGATTGAGGAAACATGCACACGTCCATGGAGAAAAACAATTTATCTGCCATTATGAAGGCTGTGGGAAGGTAGTTGCTCTCGTCTGTCACTCTTTCAAAGATGCTGATAATATTCAAGAGATTGACAACCAATACTGATATCTGGTAAAATTTTAAAGATCCTCAACTGTTGACTGGATTGCCGATGATCTCAGCAAAGCTTCCGTTGACTTTTCTAGTTTCCTCCTGTGTGCAGCGCTTTGTGGACAGTTCGAAGCTGAAAAGGCATTTTCTGATTCACACCGGTGAAAAACATTTTATTTGCCCGTTCGAAGGATGTGGCAAGGTTTTTTTTTCTCCCCTTTTCCTTGCAGTAAACTTAAATTCAATCTTCCAATTCTTGTACCCGAAATTTCAGAATAAGGTTCTCACTTTAGTCCTCCAAGCAGCCTTTGATGATGGGGTTGTTGTGGGAGCCAAACTTTGAAATTTCTTTTGAACCAGTATATGATCTAGGAAATGCTGCCCCTTCTTCAGGCTACCAAGACCTCCAAGAGTGACGGTCTCGTGGTATATGTTTACGTCGTTGAGATCCCACCGGGACAGTAGATGTTATTGTGGCGTGCACCCGTTCATCTTTGCTGTCATGTGATTATATTTGGGTACTGCGAGAAGTTCCACGTCGTCCATTCATTTGTAGTTCAACGTAGGCACACGTTGAATTTGACTGGCATTTGTTTCTCAGCGGATCAAGGCGCCCTAATATCAGACGAAGCATTACAGACACGGATTGTCTGGGATGGATGTGCAGGCATTTTCTCTCGACTTTAACTTAAGATCCCATATGCGGACACACACAGGCGAGAATTATCATATTTGTCCATTTGAGGAGTGTGGAAAGCGATATGCACACGAGTACAAGCTGAAAGCTCACTTGAGGACCTATCACGATAAGGTTTGTTGGATTCACGGCAGTCAAGCCGACCGTTGAGAAAGGAATTTTTGTGCAGGCTCTATATTAAGTCTTTCGCGTGTAGACCGCTGAAGTATGAAGGGGCTTCTTGGGCACGTCTTCATCCACATTTTGTGCAGTAAACTGTACATTGGGGCCTGACTTAAACTTGTGGCCTTGCAGAATATACCCGAGACGAACGTAGTGTCTCCGCATACTGATCCAGAGAGGGAGATTTTTGTGCCGACAAAGTTTGTACCCCCTCCTGTTATTACCCCCAGCTCGATTGAGAAACCTTTCGGATGTCCATTTGAAGGGTGTTCCAAAAGATACATTCATGAGTACAAACTGAACCTACACTTGAAAAGTGCGCACATGGTTCACGACATATACGAAGATGGGTCTCGACCAGGAAGAGGGAGTGACGGCGAGGATGATGTAGAGGAAGTAAGTGATCAAGATATGCGGGAATATGAAGAACCCGTTCAAAGATATTACGAACCTACTCCACCAAAGGTAGGCCAGCCTTCATCGAAGAAACGAGGCTCGAGAGCACCTTTAAAGGGGAAGTTGAGGATTATTGAAAAACCACCGGCTAAGAGTGCGAAGAGGAAACGTCCTGCAGTGCCTACAACTATGAAGCTGAATGTAAAACCGCCTAGTGCTGGGAGAAATGTGGTTGCCAGGCAGGAAATAGCTGAAGATAGTGAGGAAACTGAGGATGAAAATGAGAACACCGAAGAAGAAGATAACGGACATCAGATGGGTGGCAGGGGTAGGGGCAGGGGCGAGGATGATGACGAAGAAACTGAGGATGACATGGATTAGTCCGGAAGTTAACCTTTTCACCAATTTGTATCGAACGGATTTGTCACTTATTCCTTGTGTTGCCTTGTATATAATTGCGGCCCTTGTCGTGCTTGTAATTCATATGGTTGGCCAATGCCATTCACTTATTTGGAGAGTTCCAAAGAATGGTTGCATTTATCAGGGTTCTCAAAATCACACGGTAGATACTTGAAAGACTGAAGAATCTTCCAGCACTTTTAGACATTAGTTAGTCTGTATACTTTGGAGGGTAGGCTTCAAAATGCTGTACGTCGTTTTGGAGGTTTTGTGTTCTTGTGGACTCCTCATCAGTCGTGGAATCTCTCATGTGCTTCCTTCGTAGGCTTTGTTCTCAAAAAATACTTGAAGGAAGCATGTCCGGTTGCACCTGGTCAGAACGATAGATGGAAATCACGTAGTGTAGAAATCTGTTTTGTTTTTGTAGCTGACAAAGATGGCATGCTTTTTCATCGAACTGTACGGTTGCGATGAACATGCGTTAAAGACGAGCAGCAAAGAGGTGATTATGCACACATTGAAAACAATATCGTGAAACAGGAACCAGATAGGCTCACCAAGCTTGGTTTGTGCCCTACTGTAAGTTAATCGTCATTGAAATTCTGAAACCAAATCTAGATAACAAGCAAAGGAAGATCGCAAAGATATACCCACCACCATATCCATCACCATCACCTGGATATCCAGGTGGTGCCCACAGGGGATCTTCTTCTTGTCATTTTACTTTGTACCCAATACTCATTGGATTTAGTTAGTTCTTTGGGAATGTCTGACTTGGTAACACTAGTCAAAACGAGCAAAGAGGTTTAGTAAAACCTTTCTAAACCCAGAACTGATGCTGAGGGATATAGAGGTCTTTACTAGGTCCAAAGTATTGAAAGTCAAGGAATTCATTAAAAGCGTACGTTTTGTTGGAGTTCCGTTGGAGAAGGAAATGTCTAAGTACTGATAATGTACCCGGATTTGAGGTTGACATTATTATGTCGAAACCGCATGGGTGTGAAATTTAAGTGCTCATAAGGGCATCATAAGTACAGTGTTTCCGCCTACTTGGCGGAATACACTAGTCAATAAATAATGAAAAATGGCTTAAAATGAAAAGTAGTTGTATTGAAAATCTGAAAATTTTAATTCTAAAACCTCAATAATATTTAATTCTGACAACTTTTTTCAGTTCTTGGGGTACAGATCTTGTCTTCCTAGAATAAAAAATCTTGATTTCCTCATTGAAACACGTACTTCTAAAGTATTTCAAAATACAAAAAATTAAATCTGAAATGTCAAAAATTGTATAGAGTAACAAATCCTAAAACAAATATCATGTATAAGAAATCTAAAAGTGTATTTTGAGATGAAATACACTTCTTGGAATAATTCTATGATTAGATTCGGTTCTAATCTTTATATAAGTCATATGAGATTCATCTCTTATTATAGGTGCATTATGCTTCCATCGCACTATTTTATGATATTTAATCGTTTGTTTTCATGATCTAGTGAAAACATGAAATCCAAATTATTGTAAGGCTTATGAACGATAGAAGTTATTATAAGAGGTTGTTAAATCAAAAAGTTCCACATTATGAATTGACCATAAGATTTTTTTCATCTTAATCGTACTCTTTTTTACCTTAAACCAGGCCTGGAATCATCAGGTTTTTTGTAATCAGATTTAATAATATTTTCAAAAAATTCCGTAATTATTTATTGCCATGAAATCGGTTTTAATTTTTTTCTTGAATTCTGTGACTAGATGTTCAAATTAACACATATTTATGTGTTAATTTGAACATCTACATGACAAAATGAATAATTGAGTCCTTTATAGATTCTATGGACGTAGAGATAAAAATAGCAAAGAAGACTATTTAATGTAATTAGATGTGTCACGGAGGTGAGATAAATTCGTGGCGAAGTCTGCCGGGTTCCCCGAGAGTATCAGTAGTTCAGAATTTTAGATATTGACAACGAGTTTAATTTTGATACCGCATATGGATGGATATGATGATGATAATGAATTCCTAGAAACATGAGCTGTTTCCTATTACACTCAATACATTGTTATGTACTGATTAGATATTAATAATCTAATACAATTGAGTAAATTCATGGTTGAAATCAGGTTTTTTAATAAGCCCGAAATTATTGTAGATAAAATTCGGGTTTTTCCACTCCTGCCTTAAACATCCCCAGAACCGTACAGACATGCGGGGAATTGAGCATCTTTTCGAGCACAAAATTAATACCAAATTAATACCTGAACTACGTGCTCTTCTCGTTAATAAAACAAATCCTGTAACTTTTACTTTGTTTCTTCTTTGTTAAAGAAAATGGGTTCAAAGTCCCTCCTCTCTTGACATAGGTGGAGATTGTTTTCTGAGTCTGATCAGTGGACTACAGCTGTACAAGCAGGATACATAAGCCTCATGAAATTAATACCTTCACTGAAGCTTTTAACTCAGCATGACCATCTGCAATTTGAGTGTGATATATATTTGAGTCCGATCGAGAAACACATCTTATTGTAAAATACACATTTTGGCAGAGCGTCTGACGCTGAAGAATTCAAAAAGCATTTGCCCAGCTGCTTATTTGGACACAATGATGGACTTTGGATCTTTTCACTACGGCATTTTGCTATGACCTGGACTTGGAACTGCTCTGCACTAATTTTAACCATTTTCGTGCCCATGCGTGCTCGAATAAAGTACACTCTGGCTTGAGGTTCATCCGTCTGACGCTGAAGAATTCAAAAAGCATTTGCCCAGCTGCTTATTTGGACACAATGATGGACTTTGGATCTTTTCACTACGGCATTTTGCTATGACCTGGACTTGGAACTGCTCTGCACTAATTTTAACCATTTTCGTGCCCATGCGTGCTCGAATAAAGTACACTCTGGCTTGAGGTTCATCCGCGTGTCGTCGAATCGTCGGCTGTCACCAGCTAGTCTGGGCTTTTCGGCAGCAATGTAGGTTACATAGTGGCCACTCGCGTTGGTTGTGTTTCATTTGCTCTAAGGCCGCGGGATTGTGGGACATTCCATTAGTTCGGAGAGTATCTAAACACTCATCCCCACCCTATTGAAGATTCAGTTCGGACCAACATCATTGGAGCAATCTGCATGACTGTCTCGCATTGAAGACAGTTGTGATCCCATGCATGTATTGCTGGGGACTCTGCTGAATACTCGAGGCATGCTCGAGCCAGCGCAAGCTCTGCTGCTCGGCAATGTGTCGGCAGCAGCTTAACATCCGTGTCCGTCCTTGTGAATACCATTGACTCTGGGTTTTTCCAGTTACTTGGGAAGAGAGATGGTACTTTTCAGTTTAATCTCAACAATTCTTCCATATTAAGCAGCTTATGGTACAGATCACGCACGTAGATTGATCAGAGATCGGGCCCTAAGTGCAAGTTTCTGTAGAACCTGCTCGTCGCCATCAATTCATCAGAGTGCATTTGAACCCGATGCGATATTGCTCAGATATAACCCTGTCAATGTACGCAGTGTGGACATAGCAATCTGACACGGCGCCTTGTTCTTCGCGCTGGTCCAGTGCCATCGTTACTTACCCTGAGCCTGTCCTTAATCCAATCGGTGCGTCACGATTCGCATCCACTATTTGGCGCAAATTCTGTCCGAATCCATCATAACAGCGACGGCATGTTCAGGATTAATTCAAGGGAACGAGGAAGGAAGGCAGCTCCTCAAACATCCCGAAGACGACCAGCACACGGAGCTCGACGAACACTTGGAATTCATCAGAAGTCGGAACGAGGAGCGAGGGAGGATCCGCGGCCTTCGGAGGGCTCCGGCAAGCCAATCAAGAATTGAACAGCCACCGAGTGGCCCGATGCAGCGAGATGGCAACGGTTGGGAACGGTCACAGAGCGCGTGCCGCGCGCCGGAGATGGAGAAGGAGATGGAAACGAATTGCTGCGGAAGATCGTCGTCCTTCAGGCAGGGCACCTTAGGGTTTAGGGTCAGGTTCGATCGGAGGTTGACAGCCTTTCTCCGATGAAGACCGCACGGCACCTCGATCGCGTCGGAGACGCGGGCTAGATTCCACATGGACGCCATGAGCTGCGACTGCGAAGATGAATGCGAGGAGAAGATCGACGAGGCGGTGCCGGAGGCGGAGGAGGCGACGAATACCGGGAACAGACGAGGAAGGAAGTGCGGGTAATGGGTATGTTCTCATGTTTTCAGAGTCCAAGAGCCAAGAGAAAATGCCCCTCGTTCTCGCCTTCTTGGGCAGATAGGATTCGCAGGTGTTTCACTCCCGAGTCGCCCAGTTCCCCCATAGTTCGTGAGCATAATCACCAGCCACCGTTTCTATCGGATCTCGCCAGTCAGCAAGAAATTGAGCGGCGTCTCGATCCGTCCCCACGTCGGGCATCTGCTGTGCCTCGAAAGCTTTCCCCGCCCCGTCAACTCGCTCGACGAGCAGATCCCTCCCCGCCTCCTGGGCCTGTGGTCGATGATCGCAATCCCTCGCCCAGCCCTCAGCGTGCCCAAGTACGGAATCCTTCGCCACCACATCGGCCTGTTGCTCAGGCTCGCAATCGCTCCCCGCCTCTGCAACCTGCTCGACATCGAAAGCCTTCTCCACGTCGCAGAGCTCCGAAACTCAGAGTCCGACATAGTTCCAATTCTCGCCAAGTATCGAAACCCAAACTCAAAGACTACTCTCCTCCTCGTCCAGTTTCGAAAGCCAGATTCCGAGATTACTCGCCCCGTCGTCAACCTGCCAGCGCCGATTCCCGAGGGTCTTCTCCTCCTCGTCAGCCTTCCAGAGCCGTACCTTCAGATTCTCCTCCTCCTCGAGCTTCGATTATTGAGCCTCTAGATTTCACCCCTCCCCGTCGAGCAGCAAAGCATAAGCATCCTTCTAGATCTCCAGCACTGGAGTCGAGAAAGCCATCGCCAGCACAAAACGCGGCACCTCAGCAAATCCCAGGCCCTGCAAAAGTAACTGAGCGTCGGAGGGACACCCCGCATCCGATAGTGCTGCCCAAATACTCACCTAGATCTCCACCGGAGCCTCGATCGAACGCAAATGACGTCAGCTCGAAGCCCGTGAGTCCCAGAGCCCGCCGCAATCAGTCCCGGGAACGCCAGATGGAGAGGAAAGGAAACCAGGACCACATAACCAACATTTGGATAGACCACCACGATACAGATCACGTTCACGAATGGGAATCAGTCGAGCCATCCCCGCGAGGCCAGAGGCTAGCCCGCGAGCTGCAGCGGGAGGCGGCGCATGATCGGGCGGTGCAATCGAGGGGGCAGTCCGTGACAGAGAGCTGCGCGGACTCCTACTGCACTCGCGCAGAGAATCCCCTCAGACAGAAAGTGCACGAGTCCAAATTCCCCTTCGGCACTCCGGAGGTCCGCCCCATCTCGCCTCCCGGATGGACGTACTCGCCCAAGCGCAAAACCTCGACGGGCGAGTGGTGGGACAAGGACTGGCCCAAGAACAAGCGCTACATCTTCCATGACCCCAACCTCCAACCCTGCGGCTGTCACTGGTCCAAGCGCCATGCTGGCAGCCGGACGCCGTCGCCGCCAACCAGCGCCCGAGCTCGAGGGATGGCCTACGCCGACAGTGTGGTCAAGATCAACCGCGACAGGTCGCTGTCGCCGCAGAGGCGCAGTCCGAGGATGGTGCCGGCCCGGGACGAGCCGCCCCCGACTCAGAGGCCCAGGCACAGGCACGAGCACCTGAACTGGTCCTGCGACACTTCGCGAGCCTCGTCCCGACCGGCCTCCAGACCCAAATCCCCGAGGCAGGCCTACAGCTCCGGCAGGTCCACTCCCTTCGCATCTCGATCTCCCAGGCCCCGATCCCCGCCCCAGGCCTCTCCTTCTTCTCCCGGCGGCTACTGCGTCTCGTTTTCGCGGTCCGCCTCTCCCGTCAGCAAGCCGAAGCCCGCCGCCCAGTCGTACTCTAGCTCGAGACCGGGCAGCGCTCGGCCCGTGAGATCTCGAGCTTCCGCTCCTGCCCGCCAGAGGCCCCAGCAGCAGCACACGCACATTTACGTCTCGTCGTCCAGCGGCTGCTCGACCCCCACCAGCATCTGCGTTCAGAGCCCGTCTGAGAGCTCCTCGGGGGGGAAGGCTCGGAGTGTGAACAGCATGGGCCACTGTCATAGTTACGGGGCATGGAATTGCTCGCCCTACGAGGATCCCCCTCCTCCCAAGACCCGAACGCCCACGCCTCCCAGAACCCCCGACTACACGGTAACCATTACGTGCCCTCAGAACGAGGAGTCGATCGACACCGAGTCCGCGACGGACGAGGTGTCGCAGGACTCGTACCATTGCCACTGCTCGGTGAGCCTTGGCTGTCGCGATGACTGCCATCGTGCTCCCAGCGTGCTCATTGCAGGCAACTGCGACTGGCACCACGTAGCCCACCACCATCACTGCTACCACCACCACCACCAACGAGCTGGCCACTGTTGTTGCGCTTGTAGTCACCACGATTGGTGACCCGGCTCACTCATTACAAGGTTTTGGGTATGCCTCTCGACGGAGTGGCTCTTGGAATCCTTCTGTTGGCATTTTGGTTGCTTCTGACAGGAAACGCACAACCGCAGAGTCATTGAGTACTGCGACAGTCACGACAGGTTCGTTTTCCAGGTATGGTCGTGCAGTTTGCAAACTCGTAGGTGTACTTGTATTCGTCGAGTCATCTTTCTCCTGCTGTACCTTCGTCTGGACTCACCGTTTCGACTGCAGGCCCATAGGTGCTTGCGTATCACCGTGCCTACGAGTGGTGCCCGCGAGTTTCAGAGCTCGATTCTTTGACCACACCTGTAGCAACTGACAGTCTTAAAGACTGCGTAACTCTCAATGATGTAGTTTTTGATCTTTTGGAGGGCGAGTTTCACAATTACCTAATAGATTGTCCTGATTTTCTCTCTTAAATCCCAACGAGTGAGTACTAGGGTAGGGATAGATCCGAGGGTAATTTATGTTCCTTGGTGTGGGACCACAGTAGATCGACCTCATATTGAGCATCTCAACAGCTGTAGCATGCTAGAAGTCTGGGTTTGCTTGAGGCCAAACTTCCATGCATCCATCGGGTATTCAGAGGTAGTAACATGTTTTGGTAGTCATTTTGCCATCGCAATCAGATCAGATGGGATGATCGATATGCACGGACCTTAACCGAATTTGGGTAAAACCGATTTAGCAGTAATGAGAGCGAGGGCTAGATCAGAAAATCAACGCAGCAAATATAAAGATGTACCGTTCTTATATTGCGCATTTCCTACCCAACTTGCAGTTAGGAAATTATGCGGTGGGATCTGAGAAAATCGTAGTCAACGTCTTGCTCTGGGAACTCAGATCGATAGTCTGGCTTTACAATCAGTTTGACGACACATGAAATAAATAAGGTTAGGTTCGTTTGCAGACTATCCGCTAATTAAGCATGTATCCTTCCATCATTGCTTCGGAAATAGTCAGTAAGAATGTTACTTCCGTGGCATCCCTTCTGCTCCGAAACACCCTGTACTTTAAGGGAACGTGTGTAAAGCAGCTTCCGTAATGTAGATATGTAAATGGTAAAGGTCTCGTTCGAGAGTCCAGCTACTTGTACTAGAGAAAGGTGTTGGCAGGTTTCTTGACACAGTACATCCAAAGAGATTTGGATCATGTCTTCTGTGCACATCGTATGTAGAAGACTGAGTTAGAACTTGGAGTTACCAAATTAGTTTCAGAAGTTCGTTTACTTCAAATCGTCAGGGCGAACATAAGATTTGTATAAAGAGAGAGCCTTCACAATAAAACTGCTCCAGATTTAAGTAAACTGTAAAGCGGGAGTGATCATGTTGTTTTGTTTTTGATTGGTTCACTCAAGACAAATTGTTCTTGCACAAGCAACATCTCTTTATCTTCTACAAAGTAGATAATTTCGTGTGAATACTCTATAGTACGTCCATTAGAGACTGGATTAGAATTTGAAGATCGTGATTAAGGACGTTACGGAAAACTCACTAGGATTGCCAAAAATGATCTTGTCTAAAGAATAATCGTTTTGTATTGAGCATGTTTGATGAGTAAAAAAAAATTGAAAAAAATTGCTGTGCAAATTAGACTCCTATCAACAAGCATAAGTCCCACATCTATAGAAATAAAATTGTGAAAAAATTTAAGGTCTGACAGCGAAGGTCCATGTATGTTGGAGATTTTATACTGAAATGACTGGTCAGAGTACCTTTAACCAATATGATAGGGTATAAAAGAACCTCTTCATGCTTCAGGCCAGAGATGAGAACTGCAATGTTAAATGCATCGCAAGTGATGCTGGAAGCTTCAATTCTTCTAAATTAAAATTTAACTCGCTTCGCTGCAAGCCCATATACCATCCAGTTTCTATTTTTCATGCCTACAAAGAAAATTAGAGGTTCCCTCTTCCGTTGCTTTACACAATAACTTATACACATTGTAAAGAGTAAATCCTGCTGAAACAGCACAAGACCACTTTAATCCATGTTTCAACATGGAAAAAAGTGGAAAATATGGAAAGATCAGCGACGTCATTTTTTCCACACTAAATCTATGAACAATTTGTAACACATACTACGGATAAGCTTTATTTGCCGAAGATGTTTGAAATTCTTTTGGGTTTTTTGCTTTTATTGGAGAATTAACATCGTGGTACAAAATGAGCCTATGAAAGTTACAGCTATAAAGTAGATTCAGGAAATGGTAAATAAAACTTAAAGTATCACACTCATGGGAAATTAATATTATTTACAATGTCTCAGTATTTCCAACGATTGGTTCATTAGGGCTGTAGAATACAACTTGCAACTTGAAATTGTTAGACTAAACTATATCAATACATTTTCTGATACGTTTGTAGTATAGCGAACGATTTGTGGCTGGAGAAGATACATGTGAAAATATTTTTCAGTGAAGTTATGATATTGTAGGAAATTTGTGTTGAATTGAAAAAAGGTTCAAAAGAGTATAATAGAGAAAAACGGATGGGAACACCCAATCAAATTTTACATGGATGAATTCAAATGGAAAACATGGTGTTAGGACCCAACAAAGTGAAACATCTTCTACTATAATGGAGATTTCTAAGCTGTGTAGATATAACCTTTTCTATAAAACAATAATATTCAAGGAAAAATAATTAACGAGATTTCTTTTTTATAGATTGTATATAGTAATGAAAATATACACAAATGGCTTAAATGAATAAGATAATGGTATCATGGTGCACGATAACTATAAACACTCCTGAAGTAATAAGGAAAAAAACGAGCTGGAAAAATAAACGGATGCCCACTCACATTCTTACTTCAACTATAAACTTTATGTTTTACCGGTAATAACAGGAGCGGACAAATTAATAAAGGTGTACAATCAGAACTATTTTTTCAAACATAGAATGTGAAGATATTTAAAAAAAAGGTCATAAATTCATATTTTCTGGTAAGATGCTTCTGGGTTTTGGAAAAGGGTAAACCCTTTTCCAAAACCCATAAGCGGGCCAAAATTGTAGCTTTCTGTTTTGAATCTCGTTATGTTTTTATTTCATTTTTGTGTTTATTCACAAACATTCGATCAGAAAGCAAAAAGTCATCAACATTCAACCAGGTGGCAATATACTAACTTGATGTACAGCGTAAGAAGTTGCTTTAGTAGAATCATTTGATGGGAAAAGTTCTCTTGTGCGCATAGTTCAAATGTTGATGATGTGTGATTTCAATAGCAAAATCTCCAGTGAATTAATTTGGTATTGACTTAGCTAGCATTCACTGCTCATTACAAGTTTAACGGGAACATCCGAGACGTCTCTGACTCCAGTCAGATGATATCCTTTGCGGGTATCGAGGGTGTGTTAGGGTTATTATGGTACTCAACATTTAGTTCATGATGATGATGGCTAAGTTCTTAGGCCTGAGATACTTATCCCTCTGACTACCACACTGCAAAGAATCCATGGCAGCAAGTTCCTACAACGTACAACTCCAACATATGCTCGACCTTCGAAAGGATATTCACAAGTCTAGGAATACACTCCACCGCGCATGAGTTCAAAGACATCGGTAATATGTCACGAGCATTCTCATAAACCTTGACAACTGGATGGGTCCAGCTAGAGCAAGAAGGTAGGTGTGGAATTCACACCCAGGTGAACATTCTACTCAATCAAAGTCAGAAACGGAAAAAGAGTTTATGTAAACAGGGAAGTTCTCTAGGAACCCTTTATCTCACATTGGGTAAACATATGATCATCCCTTCCCAAGAAAAGCCAATGTTTTCTCACGTTGACGTAAAGCTCAGCCTGGCCCACGGGCAAATGGCTCGTAGAGCAGCAAGCAAGGTCGTGAGAATCATCCACAACATGTGAAGGTCCAATGAAAGCGCGGAGAAGAAGGCGAGTGTCATCGCATTCAAGCCTCTTCTTGGGGTTCCAAAAATAGAAGGAACGGGGACCAGGTAAGGGGTGAATGATCAAATCTCCCAATCTGGGTCTGAGCCACTTGTTGATTGTTCTAACAATTTGGTGTTGATCTGCCTGAAGCGGTTTCAGGCACTCGTGACCTTCCTCCTCACCCAAAAATATCCACAACCCGTGGCTGCCTAGCATGTACATTCCGACAATGTCTGAAGCACACCATCGTCCGCTGGAATCAAACTTACCAAGGCGGACGATGGTATCACCCTCCCTTAACCCACAGGCGAAGTTGTGATCATGAGAGAAAAACTCCACCTGACCATCATCCTTTTCCGAGTGTGGGCAAACTTGATGCCTTTGATGAGCACGAATAACAATATCCCCGGCCGCTGGGCAGAACTGAGAGCAAACCGGTTCTGGTTTTGGCACGTGATGATGATGGTGACAGGGAACATAAGATCTCATGCAACTGCTGACGCTACATGGACATGGCAAACAAGAACTAGAGCTGATGGACGAAACACTCACTGAGCATGTGCAATGAGATGGCAGCTGGTGACAGTGGTTGCAGTTGATCACACTGTGGTGACGACCTCCGTGACAGCCACTGCTCACAACGGAAACACTATCGCAAGCGCTGTTGCAGAAGCACGAGCAGCTGTTGCAGCAGCAGTTGGTGACATGCTCACGAGGATGGCACAGTGATAGAGGCTTGATACATACGGGGGGCGAGGCACATGTTATCATAGCTCCGCAATGTGGTGCAGTTGCCGGTCTAGATGTACACGCCGGCACCCGAGGTGTACATGTTGCTTCAGATCTACAGGACCCTTCGGTCGACGATAAGTATTCCCTATGGATGGTGACCTGGGGTCCATCAGGAGTAGAGTCTTGGATATCAATGCATCTACTTCGCACTCCGGAAGGGCTACTGGACCTCGACCTAGAAGTCGAACGTCGGCTAGTGGAGGGAGATGAGCATCGGCTTCTGCATGGAGTGTAACACACTCGCCTCTGAGGAGAACCGGACGTGCTATGGCTGTCCACGGATTCCGACTGATACCCCCAATCTATCTTGACACAAGATTGGCTCTCGTCGGAGCTATGAATCTCAATGCTTCTCGGGGTTCTACTCTTCGGCGTATGGCTTCTAGACCTGGACGGGGACCTGGATGGAGAACGGGACTTAGAAATAGGCGGAGGAGGACGGTCGAGTCGCAGAGCGCCCTTCCCACACGGTAAAGTTGTGTTGTCCCATGGAGGACGAGATCTCGGACTTCCGGACCTGGACCTGGACCTGGACCTGGATTTGGATTTGCAATGTGGAGGAGAATTGGAGCGGCTGCATCGCACGTTCACGCGCCGAGGAGTCGAGCACTCGTCGGAATTCTCCAAATCCACCTGCAGGCTCACATCATTCCCTCCCTGCCACTCAACCTGCACATCTCCATCATCGCTCGAGATTTCCACACTATTCTGGTCACTGCTTCGGCAGGTCGGGCTTCTTGATCGGCTGCAGGGCGTGGGAGTCCGGCACGGGCTCCCACAGCACTCCTCGGGGCACGGAGGGCATGGAGCGCACGAGGCAGTCGGCGAGTTGTCTTCAGATGATGAAATCTGAATACTGACGCTGCCGTCGTCGTCTTGGTCGACTGTTACGCATCTCTCGTCGCTGTGTAATTCGACGCTCCCGCGGCTGCTGCTCCGACTGTGGCTGCGGCTTCTTTTTAAACACGGGCTTTGGGACCGGCTTGGTATCGGAGAGCAGGCTCGGTCCTGGTAATGGCACGGCGGACACGGCGACGGACTGCAAGATCTATGCTCCACGGTGGGGCAGCACAGCGATGCGCAGTCGTTAACGACCACTCGCGGAGTGGTCTCGTTGAGACTGAACTTCACCGACCGCGGTGAGTTGGGGCCACTGTTGTTCTTCACGGTCACCATTCGGCAGCCCTGCGTCGACTCGTCGCAGCCTGCAGGTTCGTCTACGTCCAGGGTGAGATTACCGCGTCCGGGGCTGGCGTGGTTGCTGCGGGGACGACGAGGTTCAGGAGTGTGATGGTTACTGCGGACATTGATCTCAACGCTGTTGCTGCTGCCGTTGCAGCAGGTGCCCGACTCGGAAGCCTCGTTGTAGACGAAGAGAGGGTCTCGAGACTGCCTGCCCCGACAACGTGGTCGGCCCTGGCGAACGATGACACGAGGCGCAGCGTTCGTCTCGTTCTCTTCCGGAAGCTGTTTGTTGCGGAGAGCTTGTTCTCTTTTGCGAATAACGATGTCCGGCAGAGGCTTGTTCGACTCCCAGAACTCCCGTCGAATCGGCGACGGCGACCGAGAGCAGTTGGTGCCGATGCAGGACTCGTGGACGCGAGGGGCCGGCGCAGTTTCCTCTGGATCGCCGTCGCGGTCGCGCTCGTTGTCGTCATTGTCAAAGTTAGTGGTAATGACAATGTTGCGCTGTTGTCGTTGTTGGTGGTGGTGATGGTGATGCCCGCAATGTCCGCCATGCCCACCACACCCTCTCATCTTCCTCCCTCTTCCGCCGCCTCGGCCTCCTCCGCTCTGCGTTCATCCTTCCGCCCCCGGCCTACTACGTCGGACGACGACGACGTCCTCTTCTGCATGCATGGCCGCATTCTTCTCCTCCCTTCCTGCCGTGCCTGCCTTCCGCCCGTCCTGCGTCCCGTAACGTTGCTAGCCTGCGACCTTTCCCGGACGGTTAGGTTTTCGGTCTAACTGGATTGGGGATGTCCGGCGATTGGCGGCTCAGCCGGAGATCATGCCCCCACCGGAGCGGAGCTGGTTACAGGATCTCCTTTGCGCTTTTCTGCCTTCTTGGCCCGACAAGGCTCGGGAGATCAACGAGTCGAAGTGACGAGCACGGTCATGCTGAAAAAGCTGCGCCAGCATGGTTTTTGCAATCTTTGCGCCGTCTCCCGTGTACAGCGCGAATGATCTCCGTGTTGACGAAATCATGGGAATCCCATCCACGACTCGTCGGGAAAATGTTCTTCACCGCTGGAAAATTCTTTGTTCATCGATCGGTGGTTTTAATAACTTGCTCGCAGAAGGAACGGGAGGAGTGCTGGCAGGGGGCGCGAAGAGAGAAGCAAATTGCCTTCGTCGTCTGACACTTTCTTCCAAGTCTGCAAACCCTTCGACGGGCCGCTGTTTGAGCGGAGAGACCTGGTACATGCTTCGAGTAGCAGATCCAGGTTAGTGACGGATTGGGCCCATATTTTCTCGAAAAAATTCCCGGTCAAGAATCGACGAGGGTCTGGCTACTCGGGTAGGTCTCAGATTAAAAACTTGTCCTTGCCGAGAATCGTGAGCAGAGGATTTGAACCAATTTGAAGCACGGTGAATGAAGTGTGGAAGGAAGCCGTCAACGTCCGTGCACCTTGGGCCGGGTCACGAATCTCCCCATGGGCTTTCGGGAATCCTCTCTTCCTGGGCTCTATCCTCTACTGGGCAGCAGGGAAATGCAAGCATTTGGGACAAATCCGATTGCAGCAACTGACGCAGCGTTTCGCTCCAAAGGGCACGTGTTATCGAGGATGAAGCACGACCGGAAGCGCGCAGAGATTTTGAAAAATGAGGGATCGAGTAACATCGGTATGGTGGCGATGGTGGTGGTGGATGCGCTGACGATCCGACGTCTGGACGTTGGAAATGTTTTTATGGATTTGTGACAACACCTTCTGCTCCGCAAATGTGGACAGTGTAGTGAACGCCCTCCTGACCTTGACAGTGATCTTCCTCGTCCTAAAACGCCTCGAGAGTATCAGCTGTTATCGGTGGGGTGACAGGGAGGCCGGGGATATGGGCAGAGAGTGCCCCTGCAGCCCTAAGAGTAGCGCTCCGGGAGCCCTTGTGCCGCCCGCTTCTAGTCTTGGTTCCGATTCAGAGGTGCGGGAGTCGAAGTTGCCGGACTGGTGGCAGCTCAAAGCCTGGGCTCTCGAGAAACTCCCGGACATTTCTCGCCCCCTCAACCCTTCGCAGATTTTGTCCCCCAGACCTCAACTCAAGTTTAAGGAAACTGAAACACACGTGGCTGCAGATGTTGTTCCCTGCTTTGAAATTGGCTCCGGTTCGAATTCAGGGCAATTTTTGCCTCATGATGCCGAAGTGCTCGAGCGAAGGTCTGCGGCAGATTCGAATTCTGATGGCATGTTTCGACAAGGTCGGCCCTCGCGTGATGGACGTGGTTGGTTGGTTAGGAAGAAAAGGGGATGGCTTCGGTCGAAGAAGAAACGGGATTTCCCCTCAGTTTCAGCAGTTACTAAAGCACGAAGTTCAGGAGCTGCTTCCCCTGTCGATGCTTCGGCGAGCAAGAAGAGCCCAGTATTTGTCAACGGAAAGTGGAGGCTCGAACCTCCTCCTCCTGCAGCAAAGTCTAGTGCTGCTAGAATAGGGAAAGGTTTTCCCTCGTCACCCGCAGGTTCTGTGGGTAAAGCGAAATCTGCTCAAACGAGGTGGGCTTCACCTTCAACCACATCCACGGCACGGGAAAAATCTGAGGCATCTCTTTCCTCCACATCCGCTTCATTAACGGAAAGCTGTCCGTCTGATCTAAGAGCAAGTAAGCATCTTGGCTTCTCCGCTTCTGGGCCCTCTGCTAATTCAGCAGGAAGAAAGTTAAGAGGGAAAGATGCTCTTGATCCTTCTGCCAGTTGCAGAACGAGGACACAAATTGGGACTGTTGAGTATTCTAGCTCGGGATATTCCTCGCCCCTTTCAGCTAGCGAAGATCTTCCTGATCTTACCCATCCTTCCACATCCGCGAGCATTAGTCCTCGGGTTGCACTGGGTTCAAGGGAGATCGATGTCTTCCAACATTCTGATTCTTTTCGTCCAAGTACAACAAGACCCTTGAAGCAACTGCATGTTGTCCTTGACGCTTCTACTTGTTCGACTCCGATAGTTCTGAATCAAGAGGCTTCTAGCTCAGCAGGGGGGGTTCGAATGAGTGATGTCCTTTGTACTTCTTCTGATTCCGGTGCTCTGGAATCATATTTTCCCAAGCTTTCAACCCCATCCACCAGCGAAGAATTTTACAGCTTGTCTACCTCTGATTCCTTTGCCTCATCGAAAATAGCCGGAACAGTTGAACCCTCGTTGCAAAGTGGCACGACGTCTCCTGCCCAATCCTATGCGAAATCACGTAACCATCAGGGACCGTCGCCCGCATCTTCAGATGCAGGTGGCATAACAGAGGAGCGGCAACGAAGGACTGAAGCACCTAGTTGTTCGCCGAGATCTTTTACGGATCCTGACGCACATTTTCACCCCCTGCCATCTAGCCGGAGCAGAAGGGGATCTGATTTGTTGAGCTCTGAGTTTTGTACATATCCCGGGGATTCGTCTCGGGAGACACTCGAACCTTCTGATCCAGATTCACCTTCCCCCCGTCCTTACCCGTGCCGCCAACCAACTCCCAACTCCCAGCATGAGCACGACAATATACGGATGCAAAGCCCTCGCTGTCAGGTCCTCCCTGTACATCACTCTGGAACTACCTCTTCTTCTGTTCTACCTTCAGCAAACGATCCTCCGAGCTACGACTCTAAATTCACGACGTCATCAGTGTGTTCCCATGCCCGGTATGCACACGACGCTTCTGTAGATAAGAAGCTGTTGATCTCTAACACTGATTTTGTAGGCGAGGGCTTAGTGGAGGCCTCCAGTGAGAAGGAAAGGCAGAACTCCTCACTAGAATCTCGCGCTTCCTATGCGACGAGACCAGCTCGAACGTCCTTAACAAGGGTCCGAGGAGTCCGACCGTCAGCTAACATTGGCTCAAGTGGTAGAACACTTGAGAATCCTCCAGCTCGGATGAAAAATGTGTGGGAGCCTGGAGCTTGGCCCAATGCAGGGCAGCCACGAGATGGTGAAGGGGATGAGAGATCCGTTAACAAGAGGAAGTCCAGGCGATCGATCAGCTCTTGAGGGGCTCACACGCTTGGCAACGGCCTCTAAGGAAAACCGTGGTCGTAAGCTAGGCCAGCGCAAGGTGAGCTTCAATGAAGAAGGTCAGAACAAGCTTTCTTTTAGAAGGTCACTGCTGGCAGAAGAGCGGCCCACTGGTGCCCAAGCTCGTCGATCGCCCATGGAGTATGTAGGGAAGGTTCCGCGGAACTCTCCTGCCGAACTGTCGCCGATGGGCTCTTGCCAAGTCTCCCCAAGATTGGCCTCCCCCGGAGGTTTGCAGACCACATCTCCAGCATCTGCACCATTCCCTGTCCATCAAGGTCAAGCATTTAATCCTGCCATACCGATGATCGCCACTCCATTTGTCAGCGGGTTGCCTACACTTTACCAGCGTTCGTCAATACCTGTGGGCAATGGAGGATCTATGAAGCCCATGCGTTTGGACTATCAAGGGTACCCTATTCCTGCTTACAAAGCCGTGCTTCCGGGAATCTCAAGCCAATACCTGGACTATCGGGGATGCACGGGAGCTCCCTGCTTGGAATTCCACCAGCTCCATGCAGCTTGTTTTGGAAAATTTGCAGGCTGTCCAGTGGCTCATCTGGTAGATCAACAAGTCTTCGGAGTTGACCCCTCGGCTCAATCTCGAGTCCGTCCTGAGGCTTATTTCCCAAACTATCGCGGCTATCCGTCCCTGTCCTACCAGTGTTACCAGGGGTACTCGGCAGCACCAGGGATGACTCAATCAGGAACACCATGTTTTCAAGCACCATTAGCAGCTTCCAGCACAAAGCCTCAAGCTTACCTAGCTCCTTCCCAGAGAACTTTTCAAGCACTCCCAGAGACCTCTTCCACAAGAAATCGAGGAGTTACAGGAGCTTCCTCGACGACAAAGCAAGTGCAGTTACCGGCTGTGCCCCCTTCATACATTGATGACCCTACTTTTGCGTCTTCTAATAGAAGATCATCAATCCATTCCCGCAAGAAGGGCCATGAAGATTTGTCTGCTCCCGACAGTAGGAATCCAAAGAACCAGAATCCTCCTCCTAGACCCAACAAAGATTATTATCCCAATTTGTCCTGCAAGACTGGTATCCAGCTTGGAGGGAAGCGACTGGTGAAAAGGCCACTCGAAGCCCAAGACTCGAGGGCTACCGCGACCTCCCCTGATGACACACTCAACGTAAAAGTCAAAACTCCACCAAGCTTGGTCGAAACTGATGCTAATAACGTGGAGGTAACATCTCGAGGGCCTGGTGGTGGGCACATTTGCACACCGCCCCCATCACACTCAGAGCTGGAACAGAAATCAGCATCTCAATTCCATCCAATCCCAGGTGATGTAGTGATTCTTTTCTCGGGCTTACTGGCCAGTGCTGATCGTGAGGCAACCTTTGTATACTTTCACCCAAACCAGTCAGCGTCTGAGCCGGAGCCCAGAAAGGGGAACATGGCTGTGACAGGTGAGAATGATCAGAGAGCTATGTTGATTCGGTATGGAGAGTTCGATCGCAATGGCATTTGGACACCAAATATTCAGATCAAGCTTTTTTATACAGGCAGTGATGATATCTGGAGATTGGTGACAAAGACTTTCGTCACCAATCTTCCCTGGCTACACAGAAGCAAGAGATCTTGTGCTCGCCTTCGCATGCCAGACCCTCACTTTAAGCCTCGCTCGGGAGACCTCATCGTAAGAACTGCTATGCCTAGGAGCGCTGCTCGTGAGTTGGAAGAAGCGCAGGATCATCAAGCGGGAGATGCAGAGTGGGTTCTGATCTGGTGGGATCATAATCATCTGGTCATCACAGATGATATGATTGTGCGTGCATACGTTGGGCCTGCCCCCAAAAGGAATAATCAGCCTTCTTACTCTCTCCTAGGCCGGGTCGAAATGTACACCAAAAAAGATGTGAACTACCTGTTCATGGGCAGAGATCAGCACACTTTCTCTGAGTCGACGCTTAACCGTCGGCGATGTTCCAGTCAAAGGCTTTGCGGGATGCTTCACACTCAGTTTTGCTGCTCATGACCGATGCTTAATATGTCGTACATCTTTCATCTTTCGTCACGAGAAACAAAGACGCCCCCAACCAGCCCCGACGTGGACATTTTCTCGCACTCTGTTTTCGCTCTGCAGCGTACTAAGTTTTCAATGAAGACTCAAAGGAGCTCACGATGCGTTGCACAAGGCTCTAAGGATGGCATCTGAAGCTCAAGCTCGGTGTTCAGAATCATAAACAGATGTGGCGTGACGTAGAGATCGCGTTCAGGTGTTTCCAGGACGCACTGTGCTCAGCGTCAAGTCAGATGTTCGGCTCGGTTTCCGCTTTGCATCGTTGTCCTCATGACACGCGAACCGGGCATGGCAGCCGGGTTTCTTTTGTCGCGAGGACTTTCGAAGCTGTGTTCAAGCCTGGGTATTCAGCTCCTGAATTTAGAACCCAGGTTCCAACTTCTCCTCCATCCTGTGTTACACAATGCTTCTTTCCAAAAGGAATATAACACTTCTCTCTAAAACAAGCCTCGGAACAGAGAGTGGCGAGAATTTGGTAGGATCACTGTAGGAGTTGTGTTGATCATTGTTGAAACTGTGAAGTATTTCTGTTCAGCTGAGGCGATGAAATCAATCGATTTCAGGTTCATACTGAATGGACCGACGGAGGAATCGAAAAAGATGGGCATTGGGCACGTCTGGTGAACAAATCTCGTCTTCTCTGGGTATGAAGCTCGTTAGCTGATTTTATGTTCGAGGTGTTACGTGCACAGTGCTGGAAACTGAAGGAACACAGGTTTCTGAACGGTGGAGTCACCTTGATAGCTTAACGATGCTTGGTCAGATAGAGAAGACCCGACAGAAGACAGTCCTGAGACCAAATCCGCAAAAGATGAGGCCGGTCTTCCAAATTTTGGACTCTAGTGGAATAACACAAGCCAATTTTACTATATTGTCATCAGAATCAACCATACTACCAAGTATGTACATACTCTTTGTATACACGTTGTCTTTACAGTGGAGATTTGCTTTGAGGGAATGGGAGTATACCCTGGGCCTATGGCTCCAGCTCCCACACACTTAAACGTTGTACGATGAACATGGTATCTCTTAAGGAAAAGTGTGACATATGAAGAACATTACATTGGTGCTTGGCTTCTGAAGGTTAAACCCTGCTCAAAACTGTCATCATGATATCTGTTTACAACATCTTATGACCATCCATAGATGGTCGCTCCAACACTACGAGATGCCATTTCGTCTCAAGTGCATGTCACGTACCAGTAACTGTCATTCACCCCTAAGCGCACTACTCTAGGGACTGACAACAGCTGAAATTAGAAAACTGTTCCCCCGCAAGAATCTGTAAGTAGCTCCTATGTTTATACTAATTTGCCCTCATGCTCGAATTGCAACGGCTGTCAATCCTTACTTCACCCCACCACTGAGCTTACCATCGTACACTCGCCGTATCAAAGTTCCTGTCACCAAAATCCAGGGTCCTTGATGAAGTCCACAGGATGGTCAAAGAGCCTGTGTTTAGTAGGCAGTGTACCTTGGGTGCGCCACCACTCAACCAGTGTATCTTCTAGAGCCCTTACCTGCCATTGCAAGAGAGAAGTACAGTACCATGTCAACAGAAACTAGTCGGAGGAAAAGAACTTCAGCCACAGTTTACCACTCCCAAATCACAAAAGAAATGAATAACCTGTGGTCGGGTATATTCACTAAACAAACCTCACTTTCGCATGATTCTACGTAGTGAGGGTGGGCGGGCATTTCTGGTCATAATATCGTCCCAGGACTACAGAACTTTTCTCTTATCTGCCTCAATACGCTGTGGGCATCTTCGACACTGGATATCAGAACTTCTTATCAGGTGAAAATCAATTTTAGTTTGTAATATCATCTAAATTTAAGTGCTCTTATTGGAACTTGAGAAAATACTGTACCCTTCTGACAACAAATGGTTCCCCGATTGAAGTCAACGGAGCGGGTCGAATCGTAAGCAGCCCATTACTATTTCCATACACGATGTCTGTGAAGTATCGATCTCCAACCTTGACGACGGAGTCAACATGGTCAGCAGCAGAGCTAACATGATTCTTGTGGGTCAAGACAGGCATCAAGAAATTTGTGCTGATCATCGTACCACTGTTGACAAGTGAAAGGTTGATTGTATTTGATACTTTCATGTGACATATGAAGAACTACGAAGCAAAACAGGAGGATTTTAATTGTAACTACTTGAAACGGTCTTGATATCTCACCATAACAACCAAAGAAGGGTCACAACCAAAGTGATCTGCCACAGCTTGTGCATCACCAGAAGGTTTCTTCGATCCTGCAGTTTCAAAAGAGTACCTCTTAGCCAAATTACAGACGTTCCACAAAATTGACTCCACGCTGACAGCTATGCTTTTACAACGGACCATCAGGCTACTACGCGATTCGATCTACGTGTTCTTTATGATCCGTGATCAAGCAGATATGATTGAAAGTCCTTTCGCAGCGAATCCGTGACTTCGAAATCGATCACCCGTTCTGAAAATTAGACCACCAGAATGAGTGTAACAAGAAGCACGGTCAGTTGAGGTTGTCCAGAAAAAATTGAACCCTTCAGCGAAGACTAGGGAGATACATACCGTGGCGGATAACCGAGATACCGAGCTTGTCTTCCAAAGCCTTCGCCTCAGCGCCGTCTGGATCGAACTGGTACAAACCTGCACAGATACACAGACACGAAATGGAATAAGAACAGCAACGTTTTCAGAAAGCACACTAGTGAACATGCAAACATCTTAGACACGACACACCGAAGATCCCCAAATAAAATATTGTAGGGCATGCATCTCCGCACCAAGAGTCGAAATGCAATAGCTCCGTGCATTTGCTCGTTCCTTTAACCCCGGACTCGGTTAAGTACGGCGACGAATGCTACAAGCTTGAAAAATTGGCCACACAAGGTAATCACTGAAGTGTAAAAGCACCAGCTACGGACATTAAGAAAAGGATAATGCCGCAGGCAATTCGAGTCACAGAACAAGCACGCAACAACATCAACTTCTCTTTGCGAGTGCTTCCTTCTCATTCCAGTATTTTTTCATAACTCTGAACATAAGTGTGAACTGCAACCTCTTCCCGAGCTCCGCTTAGCCGATGTTCAATTCACTTCATTGCAGCTCCAATGCGAAGCCAGGTCAGGTCACTCTACTGAGAAGAAACAGCAAGCTGATGCAGCAAATCCTTGCGGGCAGAACTCGAGACAGCACAAACTCCTTTCTCAGCAAAGCGAGTGCTTGCGAGAGGGTCTCATAATGGAAATGTGGCTCCAACAGAACTTTTGCAGTGCACAGCTAAACTAGCACTGCAAACAATCTGGGAACAATTCTCTCGGCGCATCCGTCCAGGCTGAATTTCTCGGTTCGAAATTCAGGAAAAGAAAGATGTAGATTTGAGTCAGAGCGGGTTCAAAGGGCGGTACGTGGAAATTACCTGCAGAGTTACTCAGCAGAGCAAGACGCCCATCGAACGCCGTCCTGCACTCTTCCAGCGACTCCAAGAGTGAAGGCCACACATTCTGCCCGTAAGGAGCCGTGAGTGTGTTGTCCTTGTCGAACAAAACTGCCTCGAACCCCTTGGCCCGCAGGGCCTTCCAGTCGATCCACGAGATGTCCGGCACGCTCACATGGGGAATAGCGAGGTGACGCTCCTTCAGAATCACCTTGGAAGAGAAAGCGATTCCTGCCACGTTGATGCTCTGCCCCAGCTTTGCCAGTAGAGATTTTCCTGCCATACTGGAAGGTGCACCGATCGGTGGCTCCGGGCTCGATCCACCTGCGTTCATCATAGACACATCTTCGCTTTGCTGACACCTAACACCGAACGAGGACTCTCGTCTACGAATGCTCCCTGACGTTGCAAACCTCGTCCGAGTTGAGCACCTGAGCGCTCGACCGCAAAGACTGGGACTGAACAGCGCAGTGCACGGTGCAGAAAAGCAGGAGGAAGAGGAGGAGGAGGAGGCAGGGTTTAGAGAGCAAGTAACGAGGTGGGATCTGAGGGACTTGCACATGAAACTTTGCGTTGGAGATGGCTCCAGAAGCGACACAGGGGCAACCATGGACTTGGAAATTATCGTGGACATCTTCTTCAGAATTCGCCGCCCTCGCTTTTGCCAAAATCACTCGGCAGCAGCCTCTGGGTCCACGGCGTCAGCACCTAGATCAGCATCTCCTGCACGAGATGGACAAAGTGGGTTCTCCGTCGTCGACTTTGATTGCATTACAGACTCTTCCGGACCGCCTCAATTGGCCTAGCCCTGCCACAGCACTGCATTCATGGCCCCTTAATTTACCCTAGAGCCAGAAAATATCGGCTCGTGAAAAGTCTTTACCCACTCTCCAGAACTCGTAATGTTGGATTTGGTAGCTCAAGGGCAACAGGTTCTCCGAAACTGTGAGAAACTCGTTATCGGTTCAGAGTGAGAAACTTCACCGCAAACCGCGTCGACTCGACAAATGCAGAGGAGGGCCATAAGCAAAACCGACCTGGAATCAGATTCGATCGAGTACCTGCTGAATTCCCTCTTCTCGCCATCCATTGCTCCTATGAGTCCTGAACTTCGCGAGGAAATCGCAGTCTCTTGAGGTCTACATCGCAGGCCTATCAAAGCTGCCAGAAGCTGATGCTGAGCAACCTCCTCGCGGTCCAATTTGGACGTCGACTCTGCGAAAAGGTGTACTGGACTGGACTTCCGATGATTGTCAAATCATCATCAGCTTCCCAGTGCCCTCCCTGTCTATCCAAACAGCGGGCGCCCTAGACGGCAAACTGTCGAACGTCGAGAACTCGTTGCACGTCATGCACGAAGCGCCTCGGCCTCGTTTCTGGCTCCTTGAGTCCTCGTGCAGCCGAGTGCGAAGTGGACTGAACACTTCGTCGTCCGGGAGAGTGAATCTCCACGGCGAGTGCATGCAACCGTTTTCTCTTCCGAGCTGGCAGGCATGCCCCTGGCTCGATGGTGGCTTTGCGATCCAGACCCGAGGCCGCGGATCTTCACACCTGCAAGTCTGCGATCCGGACTTTCTGCAGATGATTTCTGTGAAGGCTGTGGAGGAGATGTTGCTACAAAGGCCTTCTCGCCTGCGGTCTGTGCGTTCGGATTGCGCCCGGGCTCCGCATCGGAGAGCGTTGGTCGGTTATGGATGCTTGGAGGCATGGCGAAGTCCGACGAGGAACGAGAGTGGCCGCCGTCCGAGCACCCTTCACGATCATCTGGGTCGACGGGGAATGGGGCGAGAGTTCTGATCGTCCGAGGACATGATCGAGGCGTTAATGAGGAAAAGGGAAGTTAGTTGTTGCTCCTCGAGGCTCTGAGAAGCGAGCACTTGGCCTCCACGATGTTCAGGACATTCGGAGAGCAGAAGTTGAATTCTCGCTTCCGGGCCATCAGCGAGCCGCGATGGAGTGCGCTTCGAAGTGATGAAATTGAACCGCGTCCTCGAGAAGGACAAGCATGTTTCATCCCGCTCAGTCCCCGCCAGTTCCCAGCCCTGCATTTTCTGAGGAGAGCGCTTCGCTCCTTGCAAGCGAGCTGTCCGAGGCCTTTATCTTGCCCAAGAAAGAAAAAGAATCGCCCTTCAAGAATTTTCCCCGACGCCTCACTGCCAGTGCTGTCGGGGATAATGCCGATTCGCCCTCCAATGCCAACCTCCCAGTACCTCCTGTAATGGCGCTTGTGGGAACGAGAGAGAAGATGGAGACTTGGCTCAAGCATTCAGGTCCCGGGAGCTCCTGTTTGTGGGCTCAAGTGGAGGATTTCTCGCTCAGCAAACGGGCTCTTTCTGGACAGCTGAGATTGAGTTATCGACTCCGTTCCGAGCAAAGTCTGTCTCTGCCAGTTTTGAGTGGAGCCCCAGTCGAACTGTCACCCGTGGCATCCAAGGAAGGATGGAGAAGGATCACGAAGAAGAGCGTGCATGAAATTCTGCATCCTCACGACTCTGATACGCGGAGCTCGAGGAGTAAATCTGATGCGCATGACAGTCCCAATGCTTCACCTGGTCTCGAGAGGAAATCCACAGGAGGTGCAATCAAGGACAGGGCTGTCAGTCTTGTCGTGCCTGAAAAGGCCTACAGGCAGCTGCTTCAGATGGTGTCTCCAGGCGGAGTTGTTCGACAATATCAGTCCCTTTTGCGAAGAGCTGCAGATGTTTCTAACTTCCTCGATGTGGATTTTCAGCTGGTGGATCTTCCCAAGTGGCTGAGCCACCGTCTGTTTGCTGTCTTCTGGGAGGACACCGATGTTGTTGTGGTGAGAAGGGATGCACCAGACCTCAAGTGGACTCTTCTCAGGTTTGATTTCGACGAAGGAGTGATTAGGTCTACTGAGGGCGCAAGTGTCTGCAGCCTGGAAACAACTTTTGGAAATAAAAGCCTCTGCGACATCCATGCCTCGCGAAAGAGATTTCGGGCAGAACCGGCAGCTGGAGATGTTGGCTTCAATTCAAAACAGAAGTCTTTGGAGGAGGTGAAAAGTGAGCTGGAGTGGAAGTCCTGGAAATGCATGTCGAGGTCGCAGGAGCACACTTCTGTCAGCCCGCTGGCTCTCATGCTCATGGATCTACTTGGAACTTTGGCCACAGTATCAGCTACAGAAATTGAGTCCGTCAAACTCCTGTTCAATCCTGATCCGTGGGAGACATCAGCACTCGGACAAGACGACCTGGTTTTAGGAGTCTCAGCTGTCCGAACAATGTTCACATGTCGAGGGAGGAAAGGATTGTCTTCTAAAGAAAAGCTAGCTCTTGCCAAATTGAGAAGCGACTCCGATGAGCTCCATTTAGAGGGCATTTGCACGTTGCTGGAACTACTGAAAGTTGGTGATGCTTCTTCGTCGAGCATCGGTTCGAAGGCGCTGGTAGATATCAAGAGTCCACCGTCTCATTCAAACCACGACAGCTCCCGGTCTAGTTCTGCTGTATGGTTACCCTCTGACCAAGAAGACATCGAATCTAGTTTCAGAGAACAGTTGAAAAAAGAAGCTGGACTGCGAGAAGTAGCTGAATCGAATTCAGCCACTGATGGAGGAGCGATGGAGGCTGACTCGGGGAAACGAAAGCTAAGACATGGAAGTGTGAGAGAACACTCGCAGAGAGCAAATGGTGAAGTGGCACTTTCTCGCGTTGGGAGTCAGGCGGATGGAGATGTTGGAGGCGCAAATAACGGTTGGTGCAGGTTTGAGGAGCTCGACGCTATGCACCAAAAAGAAGATGCAGATAATGACGAGGTTGGAGTGATGCAGGTAAGTGAATGGGTAAAGAATGGATTTTTCGAAGTCCTTATACGAAAGCTGATGAGTAGACCCAGATGCGTGCAAGAAGACAAGGTGGAGAAAACTAAACAGCTCAGTTTTGAACTGGTGCTGGAGGCGTTCTTGAAAATCCTGGACCTTTTACCAGGAGAGGGGACGTCTCGGATGGTCATCATCATTCTTCAATTGGTCAATGAACTGTCTGAGACTATAGCGAAACTTAGCTGCTCAGCCGACAAGCGGGATTGCGGGGAGGAGGGTGGGAAGCCTTCTTCCAACGGATCATCGAATGATGGAAGCCTCCTCTTTGTCAACGATTCAGTGCAACGTAATGGATGCACACACGAGAATAAACTTCAGGACAGCTTGGTGAAGGCGCTGAAGTTTTCCAGACTGCTCTCTTCAGTAGTTTCCAGGTCATCAATCCTTGGTGGATGTTTGGCGATGCTAGGGGGGCTTGATCTCATCTTGGATTTTTATTCATGCCTTTTGAGAAGGTTCCCTGTCAATTTAAGACTCGGGACAAGATCAATTACCAGTAAGATACGTGCAGAAGGTACACTCCCGGGGGAGGTAATGAAGAGTCAGGATACCACCTTAAAGGTTCTGCCCTGTATATTCCCACGTTTTTGCATTTGTAGGGTTGCACAAACGTGTCTTATGGACTCTAGTCTAAACCCCCAACAGGAGAAAGTAGACTTGACTTGGCTCTCTGCCACTGGCAACAAATCGTGCAACTTGAAGGAGTTTATTCTTGGCTCTGATCCAGAGTTAGGAGCAAGACTACTCGCTGATAAAACTTGTAACAATTATATAGAACGACTTCTAACGTTGGCACCCGGTTCAAAGACTGTGGTTAGAAAGCCAGACGGTTGTCAATTGACTTATTTTGGAGATTCAGGTTTTGATAGCGTGACCAATAAATTCAAAGTGGAAACTTTGGAGGCATCGGTGATTGTTTTACCATCTTCTGATAAACAGTTTGACGTCTCTACTGGAGTACCAAGAACCAAAAACCTAGATAATGCCCAGAATACAGAGACCGTCAGTTTACCTCATCAGAGACAGACACGACCTTACGTTCCACGACTACCTCTGAGCTCTATACAAACTACCAGCTCCGGATCTGGTCCAACAGCGGTCTGCCTCAAAGATTCTTCCGAATCAAAATCTGTAGCTGTAGCTGACACAGGAGATTTGGCTTCTAATCTATACACGGGATCATCAACACACTTTGACATACTCAGGGCAGTCTCTGACGTCAAATATGAACTTCTGCGAAGCATGGCCGAGCTGTTTGGCAACCATAGCCTTTCTTTGATGCGTCTAAGAAGCTACCTTCACCAAAAGGTTCAGAGTGAAGGAGAATCTCAGCTTGTAAAAAGTTTTCTGCCAGATATGATCGGTGGGTTTCTCAACACCGTACCTGAGCAAACAAGTAGGAGAGCAAAGAAAATCCAATTGCAGGTTGTATCCATACTGGACATGAGCGAGATCTGTGGTGGTATGTGTCCAAGTGAAAGCTTCAGGGTTTGTGGTGGCGAAGATGCACAGGGTGGACCTTGCTGGAGTGGTCCAGGACCACCTGATGTTTCATATGAGTACAAAAGATCTGTTGATGTTTTGCTGCTTGAGATAGGGAAACGTTTGACGGTCATGGTCTGTCATCTTACTAAGATGGTGAACAAATCGGAAGCCTACGAAGGGGATGAGACAAGCAACCAAATATGGATGAGAGGTCAAAGTCCGCAGTGTTGCGAACCATCTCTGGTATCTAAAACGCTCTACAGTGGTCACATGTTGAGTTTGTGGGTTGATGTTGGAATTCTGTTGCAATTCCTTGAGGATTTCGTGTTGTTGTGGCCAGAAGAAGGCTCCGCTCGTCGAGTGTTGAAATGTTGCGGAAAACCAATTGAAGGGATTTTTGGATTGTTGGCTCAATCACCCTCCCAAAGTGACTGGAATCTTGCTCAGATTCTTGCCATGCAGCATCTCTTCAGGCTGTCCACAGTTTGTATGAAGAGTCCCGCGCACGAAAAGGACCCAGGAGTTCAAGTCTGGAACGACGTTGACGCCTTCTTCTGGCAGTTGTTAATCACAAATGACAGCAACTGGATATGTGTCAAGAATTTTGCAGAATGGGTGCTATTGAAATCATGTCAGGGTTGTGTAAGGACGCTGCTAGAGGGTTACCAAAATGCTCTCTGGGAACCTTTGGAGATATACTACAGCATGTTGGGCCAGAAAGTCAATCCTCTATGGACACAAAGTAAACACTCAGACTCTCGTCGTGGAGGGAAAATGTTGAGAAAGAGCATCCTTCCTCTTCTCAGAGCAAGCGTATTGATGATGAAGAAGAAGTTCAAGTGTCAATGCCAAAGTTCTCAGGCTAGTCCAGTCATGTACATGAGTAGGTTACTTTTCTTGCTTGACTTTCTCATGAACCCTATCGAGGGCCTACTGATGACTGTAATTAAAGCTCCAGTTTCGTGTGGGCAGCTGAATAAAGTGTACAGAGAAAATGTAACATCCTCTGTCTCGAACTTGATCAACTCACGAAGAGCGAATGATCAAAGCACAGTTCAGTGCTGTAACCAGCCTGTATATTCAGCAGATACCGGGCCTTTGTGTACGAATGATTCGACAGGGCTGTGCACGAAGTGTGCAACTATCTCCTCTGAAACAACTTTTTGTCAGAAGTTTACTTCCTCCATGAAGCATGAATGCATATGTATTCTTGCCGATATATTCAGTCTAAAAGCCTTCGAGGCTAGTGATGAGCAGTACAATATGTGCATCAACCCAAGGGCACAGAACCCCTTCCTCTTTCGTAAGTACGTCAATCCATTCCTAGAGATCATTTTCATATGCTTTTTGAAGTGTTATAGCGACAGAGGGGAGTACAGTGAGCGTGAAGTCCAGCTACCTTGGGGCATATCTCCACGATGGCAATGCGTTTCCGGTCGCTACAGAAAATCGATGAACTGCAGTCTGCAAAGACATGGACCTATCAACTTGGCAGTGGATCCTTCAGGTTGTAAGACACTCTTCACGAGCAAAGGCAGAGACAAAGATGAGATTGTTGCTTGCTCAGTCAGGAGCCACGAGGATGAAGCTACAACTCTAGCCTGTATACTATATGCTCGAGTTCTCCTATCTTTAGCCCAGAATCAGACAGATGATGTGACTCAAGGTTTCCAGCAGGTAAAAGTTATGGATTTTTTAGTGCAGCAGATTGGCTTGGAGTATGAGATTTCTCAAGTTGCTACGCCTCGAGATACTGTCCTTGCAGGGAGAGCTACTAGCACTCCAGTGGTACCCGGGAATAATCAGTTCCTTGATTGCATTGACCTCGAAGACAAGATCCGCAGAGCAGCATCTTTCAGGAGGGAGGAGAGGTCAAGTTCAAGTGAGCTGAGTACGATCAGAGAAGGCGAAAGCATCCAGGGAAGAAGCTGTGACGGACTGGAAGGCGATTGTCAGCTGGAAAGTAACGACATGAGTAACACAAGTAGTTTGCCAAGGTGCAAGACCAGCCAAATCTTCAGATCTCCATCGAGTTCAGCCGAAGTGAAAACCGTATCCTCAACGGCCGTACTCGCTCGGGAAGACCTGCGACTGGAGAGGACACCATTACAGTCGTCGAAAAGGATTTTCAGGGAGCAGACACTGAACACAGTATATGAGCTGGTTCAGGAATCCTGTATGAGGGGACCAGGTTGTTGCCTCGGATTTCACTCAGCGCGAGACACGAGGTCTACAGAGTTTGCCAAAAAACAGGCTCATTGGAATTTACTTGATCAACCTCTTCTGAGATTCCGGCCAACTCAGATTAACTGGCATAAGGCAATAAACTTCAGTGAAGAAGGCCCAAGGAGTCTGCTTCCTTTCAGGGAAAGAAACAGAAACACGCTGCTATGCAATCAAGTGCTGAGCGAACGTGGAACAAATAGTACCCTGACTCTCTTTCAAAGAGGCCCTGGAGCAGGTGCTAGTTTCAACCGAAAGTTTAGGGGAAAAGATGAGAATGAATTGGAGCTTTCCGTGGGGATTCAAAGTCGTGTTGTTCCGCCTACAGTGGAGAAGAGTCTCGAAGCTGAACTTTTAGCGACAGCCAACAAGTCCTCTTTTAAAACAAGAGGTGTAGCCCAGTGTGAGCTTGCTGTAGAAGGGGAGGAAAAAGAAGTTATTCACTACAACTCCACAGCAGTAAAATACGCTGGCAGATTTTTTGACCTTAACGAGGAAGTGGAGCGAGAGCTTGCACAGGAAGACTCTCCAACCCCTACGAGTCACGACATCGATGTTAAAGATACAACTGGAGTCGCTGAGCTGCCTACGTCTTGCACGTCCCAGCATGAACTACACTCCACTGTTCAGAAGTCTACAACAGCTGGTTCGGTGAATTCGCAGTCAGCCTCTGAAAACATGTCATTACAGCCAGAATCAACCCATGTGCCTGACTTGGGATCAAACAAACGTACACCAGCTAGGCCAGCTATTCCAAGGTTGAAATTACCGAAATCCCTTCGTAAAGGTGGTCAGGACATGATATCGGATGCGTCCATGGAAGTCGAGTTGTTGCCATCCACCTCTTCAACTCAAGAATCAAATGGCAGGTTAAATTCCTTGCTTGAATTGCACAAGGCGTTTTCTGCTTCTGACAGAGAGGATAAAAGCTGGAGGCTTGGTAGCTATGAGACTGAGCGCTTGCGAAGGAGATTATATCGGCATGCAGGACTCCATGTGCTGCTGTTGGAACTGTATGTCGCTCTCATGCTCAATATTCAGTAAGTTGCATCCTCCCTTCTCTGAGTCTCCAGTGGCAGCATATAGTTGGCACACGGTGAAGTCATTAGTATGTGGCAGGCATAGCATGAAGACCGTTAGACCATGATATAGAAGTAGGAGAAAAAGGAGGTACTTGAGAGCGAAGAGGGTTTCTCTGTAGTGGGATCCTTTTCCATGAATGAAACTAGTTTGAAATTTCGAACTCATCCACTTTACTACATAAAAGTAACAATGACTCCAAAATGCGGCGTTTTGGGCTTTGGATCAATGCTAATGGAATACTTATTCAGCTTGGACGCCACCAGCAGAGCAAGATTGCGAAGTAGTTTTTACTCATTGATGATGTTTTGAGTTACAGTCACAAACATTTGAGAACAACAAACTTCTGATTGTGCTCGGGAAATCCTCTCGAAGTGTACTGAAAGTTTGTCTTTACCTACTTGCAGGGGAACTTTGGAAGCATGCTACAGTGACAGATTCCCCATGGAGAATCGAAAACTCAATGCTCCTTTTTTCTTATCCTATCGTATCCTGAAATCAGCTCATCTTCTTGAAGCTAATATAGCTCAGTAAAGCAGGCTACCAAAAATCATGCGGGTTTTGCCAGTTTACAGTTTGCTTTTTTTGGTCATATGTGTTAGTGATTTACTTTGGAAGAAACTTTGCCCCAAAACAACAGCGGTTTTTCTTAATAAAGTGGATTCAGACCTTAATCATGCTGCCAATTCTTACTTACTGCCTTGTCTGAGCAAGCGAATGAAAGATTTCAAACCGGCCGCGTATCGTATCTTGAAGCTCACTTGGAGAGTTCTTTTCACTCCGACGCTGTATAGAAGCAGAAATCGGATTGCCCACGGTGCTTTTGCCCAGGTGCCAGTCTCCATTTGTTTGGACGCCTTTCTCAGAAATCGTATACAGCAATGGAGAAATATTGTTCAGATTCTAGAATGAGGACAACGAATTGTACAACACAAGGAAGAAATACCCTACATCCCCGATCCTCAAGTGAAGGTGTTCTTTGTCCAATCCAACAGTCACCAGGTGTAAGCTTCTACGTGCCTCTTGAATATCATCGTTTCCTGGTATTTATAAATTGAATTTCCCCTCAGGTATACACGGCTACTGTCAGAAATCAGAGCGTCGATGCAGAAGAGCGTGTAGTGCTGAAAGTCATTGATGTTCCCAAAGGACCTCATGATCCTTGCAGATTCTTCGATGTATTTTCTGAAGTCGAAATTTTGGAGAGATTTGTGGGGGAGCCAAGAGTGTGCCAAATTCTTGACTACGGAGTGGACGCAGAGAGCTTCATTCTGGTCCTCAAGCACTACAAGTGTAGTCTGCGCACTTGGAGGGAACGCCACCATGGCAAGCCAGGTGGTGAGATAAAACCATCTCCTGAAGTGCAACAGCAGACGTTTTATACGAGGCTTCCGCTGTATCTAGAAGTGTTTTCTGCTGTCCTGCAAGCGGTCAGTACCTCCTCTAGCCTTCGGACATTCTTACCTTAGAAGGGAGGAATAAATGTCTTCTTTCGGCTGCGGTAGAAGGACTATATATGTAGAAGGTGCATAGTTGTACATCAGCTTTCACCAAGTAAATTATGTCGAAGGTCATCATGGTAGCTTCAAGCACCGAGATTCAAGTATAAGAAGCCTAAGAGTAGTAGTAGAAAGGCCCGAAAAATGGATGAGAATGGAGAGAAATATCTGAGGGTAATCTAACATGTCACCATGGGTAGTCGTCTCTTCAAAAGCTCAGATTCAAACAGCTTGAACCTCAATAGCGATAGAGAGGGCAATACCTGAACACACTACCTCTCATGCCCAGGTTAAGGTCTTGGAAGCTGAGAATGTTGTCCACTATGACCTGAAGTGTGACAATATTTTGCTTGAACCTGTGGACCCTTGTTGTCCTGAGTCTGAATTCTGGACTCCAACATGGCCACCAGCGGACGCATCTAAGCTATTACCATTCCGAGTGTGCATTGCCGACTTCGGTCAAAGCAAGGTTGGTTCCAGCTTCTTTGTTCTTATCCTTTTTGTGGCGTTTGGCCCATCTTTCAATCCTTGAGAAAGATGTGAGCTACTCACATAATTCTGTGGTTTTTGTTTAGAAAAGGCAATGTGTGTCACACAGGGAACGAATGAGTTTCAGCTTGACTCAAAGCAACACGGTCTAGCTGTTTGCAACTATAAGCTTCACGGAATGACGATGGTGGATGCTAAGGAACCCTCTAATTCCACGCATCTGATGTTACCTTTCATCGACCTGTGAAAATCCATATATCCTGGCTTGATTGATTTGTCCTACCCTTGTGGCCCAGGCGTCTTTGTACCTGGGGGGTGAATGCACGGTGCGAAATAGAGGAACAGAGTACGTGAAGAGCCCAGAAATGCTAAAACTGTTGAGCAACCAATCCCAGAAGGATTCAGATTTCAACGTTCGGCAAGCAGGTGAAGCTGTGGGGAAAGCAGTGGATGTTTGGAGCCTGGGCTGCTTGCTCTATGAGCTTCTGACTGGAGAGTACCTTTTCTACGACGATGACTGGCTTCGCTTCTTCATCCGAGTGACTGTTCCTTCTGAGGTTGACGTCTTCATCCAGAACCTAATCGACAACATTTCTTGTCCTTACTCTTGTCCCAAACCAGAAGTAAAGTGACTCCAGTGTCACAGAGTCTTCAGAACAATCCTGCATTCAGTTGTAAGGAGCGGACCTCATTTTCTGACTGTGTTTAAACCTCTTTCTTTCTGTAACCTCGGACTCGAATTGGCTTCTCCAAAGGATGAACTAAGAATCTCGGTAAAAAACGTCTCACCTATGGAAAAAGTTTCACGTAATCACGAATTTTGGCACATCTGATCAGTTTCCCAAGTAGTGGAAAACATGCACTCATTAGTAAAAGTGTTGCTTTTAAAGACTCACCATCCCGACACTGAGTTCTGACTGTCTTTTGGCGTAAGACTTTCCATCCCTGGTCCGCCAGTATTCCAACCGTAGTTCACTTGGTTCGCAGGAGCTTATCCCAGAAGATAAGGCAGCAAAGGTGGACAACTACGGTCCTGTGATGGATTTGCTGCGATTTGTATTCGTTCGTGACCCAATTCAGCGGCCAACTCTTGATGATCTCACAATATGCGTCGAACAATTGCAGCTGAAAGTCCTAGAGCAGACAGAAGCTAACATGCGGAGAGTCACCGACATTTCTTCCCAGGGTTTGACGGATTTCTTCCCAGGCGAAGACACCGACACCGACTCTGATTCTTCTTCAGATGTTCAAATTTCCGGAGAATTAGATGTCTGCCCTCAACAAGAAAAGCCACCCCACACACGACACTCTTTGAGGAGATGCTTGAATTGCTTGATTTGCCACTGTGATTGTATACGAGAGTAAGCGGAACGCATCATTGCATGGAGAAATTCAACCTTGTACTTCTGGAACAGATGCGGTGCACCACAGCATGTATTATCTGAGTATAGGAACAACCAGAAGGACCATAAGGCTCAAGAAGCAAATATTGCTCCTCCAGACGAGTACGTGTTCAATGGAGAACTTTTCCACTCGAAATCACTCGGACTTTTATGGGGCCTACACATCTACGAGGCAATCTGTGAAAAAGTCCTTGAGCGAATTCATTCGCAGATTCGCAGTTTTGGGAAGATGGATGGTGTTTACTTCACCATCCATCTTCCCAAAACTGAAGCTTGTTCGAGTTTGCAAGAAACGAGACAAGCTGAGCAAGGGCAGTGGACCATGTCTCTACAGCTTGGAAGGAGTATCTCAGCATCTAGTACGGGTTCGAGTTTGGATTGCGGAGGGAGTACTGCAGTAGTCGAGACCCTTAAGTTGGGTTACATGGGCTCCTACTTGGACCTCAACGAGCAGATTTTAAGCATCACTCGAATTCAATGCACCGGCGGACACTCTTCGTTGAAGGTACTGAAACATTCGTCGTTTCAGAAGTCTCTGATGGAAGACGTTCATACGTTTCGAAACTCGAAACAGAAGCGTAATAATCTCATGCATCCTTGCCTTCAAACATTCATACACGGTACTCAGATGATTCCACACTCAGATAGATGGTGTCAACTCTGATATCCTCTGCATAGTTACCAACAGGATTCTCATTTGGGAAAGAAGTATATTTAAATCTGTCTGAGCAACACCTTCCTTCCGTCACGGAGGGGATGAGATTACAGTATCAAGTGGCAAAACAAATCCATCAATATGATGGCTCAACTTATTGTCACGGAACATCTCGTTGGGTAGGTAGAGTGGCCTTTGTGAGGTAAGCACAACTCAACACTCTCGCTGTCAAGAGACATGGCAATGAGCATTTTGCTGCATACTGTGCAGGTTTTGCGAAGGATCGAAACTCTACCAATGGTCTGCAATTCGAATGAGACATGACGTGCATGGAAACCAATATAAGACCAAGGAAGAGAACGAGAAGTCAACTGCAGCTGGCACCAAGCTAACTAACGTTGAAAGGTGGAGATCTAACAGGAACCTTTAGATTGTTCACCAAAAAAAGGAATGATCAGATTTGAAGCTTTGACAAAAGAACTGGGAACGATTGTAAAGCACATGTTAGGAAAGTTCAATATATCGCGGCAAACATCTGTTCATCTTGTTCAGTGCTCACTAAATGTGGGATGTATCGGGTGTCCTCAAGAATGCTGGTGCTCTAGTCTCAAAAAAGGAACATGGTGTTCATCCCTGCGAACGAAACAGCACCTCTTAAGGGGTACACATGAACTTGGGTGGGTATATACAATATCGTTACATCTCGTGATAGTATGTACAGCACCGGTACCTCGTAGGTGTACGGTTTTTTCTAGGGAATTTGTGCACGAGGTACTCTTTTTGGTGCTCGGTGTTGTAGACAGAGGACAAAGAAGTTGAGAAGCAGCACAAAAATCCATAAAAAGTCCCTGGGGATAAGAACCAGCTGCTACGGCGCACGAGCTTTTATTGAAGAAGGTGCATACACATCACAGTAATGCACTGTTCTTTGCATAGCGTGGCGGCTAGCCAGTCAACGGGAACATGAAGTGACTGCTCAGATATGTGCATTTCGTGACCTGAATGGATTGAATTCTGCCAGTAGCCAACGTGTCCTTACGTAAGTTCTTTCAATCCTCATGTTCACGATCATTCAAGGGATCAGCTTTGCGGAATTCCGCGCAATCACTTTCTTCGGGCTTGAATTAAGTCTGGACCTGTTCTGACGAAACCTTTAGACGCCGACTAGATAAATATCTGAGCATTATTACCACAAACATGATTCGCGTGATTTTAGTGTACGTCCTTGCGCACTTTTAGTCACATACTAATGTGGACTGTGAGGGTTATTATCGTTGATTTCTTGGAGGTAGGAACGAACTCTTTGAGTGTGTTGAACAAAGCTTGTCAAAATTGTATGATTTTATGTAGAAATTTATTCATACATTTGGTATAAAACAGTACGCAATTTTCATATAAACTTTTGTGATATATATACAGGCATGCTGGCGACCTTAGGCGATAGTATGGCAAAGCACCTAATTTATCTATCTGTACTCTCCCCCATCAAAGATAGACCTAGGTAGAGTAAAAGTCAATAAAATGTACTCTATCTTTACTTTACCACTACCCTTACCACATTGGTCATGCTAACTTTTAACGAGGTAATTACCCAATAAAAATACCGTGTACTCTACCTTTACTTTACCCCTACCCTTATCACATTGTTCATACTAACCTTTAACCGGATAATTATCCAGTAATTGGATAATTATCCAATAATTAAAGAATACACTTTATCTTTATTTGACCCGTTAACCAGGTAAAATAAAATAAATAAAATAAAACTACACTTTACCTTTATATTATCCGTTTATCATATTATTACCCATTCAAAATATATAATACATTTTATTTTTACTTTACACGTTAACCTGGTAATTATACAAAAAAATAAGAAAAACACAATATATTTTTATTTTACCCGCTAATCAAATAATTACTCAATAAAAAAAATAATTTTACTTTTATTTACAAGTTAACTTGGTAATTACGCTAATAAAAAATGAAATATTTATTTCAAAAACTTTCAGTTCAAGTTGGACTCAAAGATCATTTCTTTGAATTGGTTGTTGAACATCTCCATGACACCGTCATCAAAGATTTCTTTGTATGAATCGTCTTGTTCAATCTCCAATTGATTGAAGACATCTTCAATCTCATCGGTGGGTTCATCAGTGAATCCAATTGTTGCAGTTGCTATTGCTTGATTTAGCGGCACTTTGAGTATCTTTGCTTCCATCCATGAATATAATCACATGGTCATGATGAACACCCATGACAATAAGGACGGTCGAGAGCCGGTAAACTCGCGACCAACAACTCTATTCACATGCTCTGATGGTGTTGACGTCTCCGGCGTTCCAAAATAATCCATGGCCATCTTACAGTGTGGTTGCAAGATTTCCATGTGGGCTGACCATGAAGACAAGATGTCGATAAAACCCTTACACTGGACCACGCCAATGGATACAAATTGATCTACCTTATCGAGCATGCTATTATCGCTCTCTGGCTGGACTATGGTCTGAAAAAGCAAATTGGTCGGTTCTTGAGACTCAACAGTCAAATATCTCAACAGTCGAATCGCGAGACTGCAATTCAACGTTGAAGAGTAGATTGAATGAAATCTGTTAAGTTTTTTAGTTGCATACGGTTAGATGATTTTGCTATTTGTGGATTGAGGTAGACTGCAACTATGGCGGGTTTCAACACTAGCAATTTTTCATATTCTTCAATCTTTTTTTGTATTCCGGTTATCATAATTTTGATATTGATCGCTAATAGTTGTAACTCACTTGTTACGCAATCTTTCACATGATGAGCAATGGATAGCGGCAACATGTCAAGCGTCGGTCTGTGATTTGCGATAAGATTTTGCATGACCTGGCACGACGCTCACAAAATAGTAACCACATCGTTGATAATTTGCCATTGGTCATTTTAGAGAGGAGAACGACCGATGCCAATTGCAAATTGCTCCATGATATTGTTAATGACAGCTCGTTTATCAAAAGCGTTGACCTCCATATGATGTGTGAAATTCCACCGTGTTGGAGAATCTTCATGTGTCGACTTCTTGCTACTAAGGCCGGCACCCGTAGCCTCCAAGCAATATTGTTGCCGCATCAGCTTGTTGCGACGAATCTTAACGAGCGCATTGCGCAACGCCTCCATTGAACTTTTTGTGAAACTAAGTACTTTAATAACAACGAGTTGAATCAAATGATCGGCATAATGCACATGATTAAAATTGGACATCTGCTCAAAGCCAACTTATGCATTGATCAACTGAAACAAATGTTTAACTCCAGTGATAACGCCATAATCATTGTCGCTGACCACGTTCAACAATCTTGTAAGTACGCCGATGCTTATTTACTTCATGTGTTGAAAATGAACAGTTCCAACCGTAAACCGACGCCGGTATCACACTCTATATCCAAGATAAGAAGTAAAATACTCTTTGGTGAGAACGTTTTGATGTCAACCCAGTGTGCAGTCATCACGTAGATGCCCTTGGAATTTCAATTTGACCAGCCGTCCATTGTTATAGAGAAAATACAACATCTAATTTGCTGAAGAACAATCCCAGCATGGGTAGCAAGATACAATAAAGTTCTATAATTTGCCTTAAAATTGTTCGGAAGCTCATGCCACTTCTTAGCGGGAAGACCATTCTCTTGAATCGTTCCGTGACGGAAGCACACAGAGACACACCACCGCCAATGATATCATCTACAACAACATTTTCATACTTACGGAGAGCTTGTTCCTAAAACACAAGCTTATCAATTGTGGACTAGATCAAACAGTTGGCAGACGGTTGGAAGCAAGATACTTCATTCTCTTTCACTCCCTGTGCCGATTGCAAATAGGACTTTCAACCTTACGCATTGGTTTTCTTAGGAATACCATCTTTTGCACAAAGTACATTTGCGTTTCATCTTCTCCTTGAAGGTATCACCCGATTGCCACTCATAAACATACATCGAAGGAAAGTTACGCTTTGATCGTTTACACTTAGAGGTGCTCAAAATCATCACCAAGATCAATTCCGCACATTTGCTATATTCCTCTTCATTATCCTCGTCAAATTTGGCAACGCTATTGAAAATGTCTTTGATAATGTTGGCATCATTCATCTTGATTACAAATCAATGTGCTCACTGGGTTAAATCAATGAAATCAATAAGTTTGCTGGACTTTAATCTATCATCCTATTGTCTTTGATATCCAAAGATTGGATTCAATGACTTCCAAGATTAACAGAAGATTGGAGTCAATAGCCTAAGACATGATAAACATGATAAACAACTCTTAGAACAATCTGCTATACCCTTCTACTACTAAAGCAAGTAGTTAAGATACAATTTCAAAGAACAAGTTAAACTACAATTTCAAAGAACAAGTTAAGCTACAATCTCAAGAACAAAACTATGACGGAAAAAAAACATAGTCATATTTGACATAGACAAAACTACTACAGTTGAATGAAACTCTACAACATGGGTGAAAATCTATTGATAGGCAGTTCAGATCAGACATCCTCTATGTACAGATTGAAGATAATGTCTTCGACGTATAGTTACAAACATGTTACATCAATATGATAATGATCATACGTTTGTAACTCAGCATGATAAATTCCATGAATTTAAGTTGAGTTTCAAGCTACTAAGTTGATATGCATGTAAGTTCCTCCATTCTTGGACACTATTGGTGTTCAAAATCTTACATGAGTGTCAGCTTATGTTGACATCTATAGCATTGTAGTTTTATGCATTTTAAGTAATCCTCAATTTCTGCATTAAAAATTAAAGTCCTTTTGCTTAGACAGAGCAATGGAACTTGTCTACAAGGCTCAGTGATGTAACAAAAGATGCAAGGCAAAAACAAAGAAAGTTTGGTTTAAAAGTAAAGATGATTGCAAGAGACATAAATGGCCGACTTGTCAAGTGTTGTGTTCGTATGATGCAGAACGTGGCAGATTGAATGAGCTTCAAAAAAAATTTGTTGCAGCGTGGTTGTCCAATCTAGCTAGCTTAGCTCTATTAAGCTAAGCTAGCGCTGAGAATACTTCGTCAACAGAAAAAAATATAATAGGAAATATAACCTTGACTACATATTTAAACTACACTTTTGTGCACAACAAGGCATTGATCAAACCAAATAGCTCATGATATATCAAGATTGTAATCTAAGTCTGAAACGGAATGAAAGAGAATTGCAAGAGACATAGATGACCGACCTATCAAGTGATGTGTTTGTAGGATGCAGAGAGTGGTAGATTAGATGAGCTTCAAAAAAATTTGTTGTAGCATGGATTGTCCATTCTAGCTAGCTTAGCTCTATTGAGCTAAGCTAGCGCTGAGAATACTTCGTTCACAGAAAGACATATAATAGGAAATGTAATCTTGTACTTGCAGTTTCTCGTCTTCCTTTCTCCTTGTGTTTGATGGGATTCCTCGCACTCCGCTGTTGGGCACAACAAGTCATTGATCAAACCAAACAGCTCATTACATATCAAGATCGTTGTCTAAATCTGAAACGGAAGGATAGAAAATTCTTGAAGAAATGGCAACGGGTTACTGGAGAAGTGCTTGTGTGTATGCTAAAAAGCTCAAGGTATTACCAGTTCACGGCAACTGAAAATTGCAACACGGTGAGAAAATGAAAGCTTCATGCTTATGTACTTTGCAACTTTTTGTATCTTGCTTATCTAACGTTGTGTGGATAAGCCTACGAGCATCCGCGGTGTAAGGAACAGGATAATCAAAGATAGCTGATTTCAAGCATGTTCATCGATCGGCAAAATGATCGTCTTTCCGGGTGAGTGATTGTAGCTATTCAATGCACTAAACTCTTGGTTGACATATGTAACCATGAATGCGACATAAATTCGATTCCACCGCGCACTCCGAGATGACAAAAATGACCCACTTCCTCACAAAAATGGCTTCTTAACACGATCCACCGTCGGCTTGGCGAGGCGTTGTGGTGGAGATAGTCGATGCAAAGGTCAGAGAACTGGGGATGACAGCCGTTGGATATGCTCACTCGGACGACAGAGCTAACATAATTAAAGGACAGTGAACAATTGACGCACAAGAAGCCAATTAAAGAAGTCGCCCACTTCATCGAATAAACGGGAACTTAACAACGGCACGCAAAAGCGCAATTAATCAAGATGCAAACTTAACGTGTAAGGGGTAGGTAAACCAACATTACTTTTACTCTACCCTCTAACTTGCATATTGGTTAGCTTCACACGGAGCCACCAACTTTAACAGGTAATCACTCGGATAAAGGGGTAAGTAAACTGGCATTACCTTTACTCAAGCCTCTAACTCTCCCATTGGTTATCTTCCTACCTATACCGCTAACTTTTACCTTTTACCC